GTATGGGGGGCAATGTGTGTTTATGGGGCAGTATGGGGGGCAGTGTGTGTATGGGGGACAATGTGTGTGTATGGGGGGCAATGTGTGTGTATGGGGGGCAGTGTGTGTGTATGGGGGGCAGTGTGTGTGTATGGGGCAGTATGGGGGGCAATGTGTGTGTATGGGGGCAGTGTGTGTGTATGGGGGCAGTGTGTGTGTATGGGGGGCAATGTGTGTGTATGGGGGGCAATGTGTGTGTGTAGTAAACACCCCCAAGCCTACCTGTCACTGGAGGATGTTGCTGGGGGTCAGGCAGCCATCTTCTGAAGCAGCATGGGCTGCTGCTTTACGGCGGGGGCGGGGCTTATCGGCAGGAGGCGTGGCTTTGTTTGGGGGCGGGGCCTGTGCCGTGGAGCCAATCAGTGCTCCCTCCGCCACAGACAGCCCCCAGCACCTCAGCACTGCATTCCCTCCCGGCTGTCACAGTCCGAGGGAAGCCCATGGCCAGCAGGTTGCCGGCATTTGGGGGGGCCCAAGGGGGGGCACAGCATGATGCCATGGCCCCCCCCTAGCGACGCCACTGAGAAGCACCTGTTAGGGAAAACATCCTTCACCTTCCAACCACATCTACACAAGACAGAGACCCAATCACTACCTCTGACAAATGCCTTGCCCCTTGGGGCCCATTAGGGACTCCCTTACACACAAGTCAGAGCCTTGGTTTTCAGAATCACCCTGGGTCTCACCTCCATGCAAATCTGTCATGTCACACCTCTCTGCCCCGTGAACGAACCACGGCTGTTCCATGTTCGACAAGGATATACAACCTATGTTCTTTATGATTTGTGTATTGCCTAACCTCCCCCCCCCCCACGCTTTGTTCCTATCTCTGTATATCCTTGACATTATTGAAACCTTTAAAATCGAAATAAAGAATGGGGGGGGGGGGGGCAGGTGGGGGGACACTATAGTCACCAAACAAACTTTAGCTTAATGAAGCAGTGTTGGTGAATAGATAAACACATGTAACACAGCCTTCCTAAACACTTCCTGTAAAGAGTCATCGAATGTTTATACTTCCTTTATTGCACAGTCTGTTTAATTTAGAATTTCATATCGTATGTTCTATTAATAGCTTTCTAGACCTTGCAGGAGCCTCCTGTGTGTTATTAAAGTTCAAATTTAAAACTAAAAATGTCCAAAGGAAGTTAACATCCGACTGAAAATTGCACTTTTTTTTCATGTAGGCGGTGTGCGTCAGAGCCAGGGGAGGTGTGGCTGGGGCTGCATAGACAGAAACAAAGTGATTTAACTCCTTAATGACAGAGAATTGAGCAGTGAGGCTGCAGGGGCATGATCTATACATAAACACTGCTTCATTGAGCTAAAGTTGTTTGGGGGAGTCCCTTTAAATATATGCAAACATATCTGTTCTCTTTAAATGTGCAATGGCATCAACCTGCTGGCATTCAACCTGTTAGGCACTGCTTAAATGAAGTCTGGATTAAGCCAAATGGGAAACAAACAGAGGATCAAACATTATCACATTTCCTCTGGATTTGGAAAGAAAGCAGCAGCTGTCCAAATATAACCTTACAGCCATAGAACTAAAGCCACTCTATTTATTTACATCCCAACAAGCTGTGTCCTGGGTTTGGCTTCATGTACATTCTGCATATCAACAGACATTTCTGACATTGAGCATGTAATATTGCATTAACACCACCATCTCTAACAAAACGATTTAAAGGGAAGAAATGTCAGCAATATTATTGTTTATCTTTATTAATTAGCGGCCCACTGTTTACATCACAAAGCATCCATGCGAAGGTGCTAAGGAAGAGTTATAGCTCATTTCAGGAATGTAGCAGAAGTGTCAGATTAAAAAGAAATCTCCACCTGTACACAATCATAGCTAATCACCCCACACAACGCTCCCTCCCATACATATCAGCGTGGGAAACAGACCTGGGCCCACCAACCGAAACGACAGACTGGTCGGATATCTGGGAGGCAATAGCCTCCGTCTCCATATGCGTAACACACACCGAGCAGGCATATAAAATGCTTTTTCGGTGGTACCTCACACCACAACGCTTGGCTTCCATGCACCAGTCACCATCCAACACATGCTGGAAGCTATGCGGAGAGACGGGGACGTTCCTCCACTGTTGGTGGACGTGCCCGAAACTCCGACCGCTGTGGCAAAGCGCCACCCAATTAATCACCAAATTACTACACAAACCGTGCCCGGCATACCCTTGGGCCCTGTTGCTATCCAAGCCCATAGACCCTTTCACGAGATCAGAAAACAAACTAATCGCCCGAATTGCGCTAGCCATTCGCAGAGCCATAGCTGAACTCTGGTCTACGACCCGCATCCCGACACAAGAAATGATAACAAGAAAAGAGTTCACAGATGGATAAACTGACAGCACAACTCCGAGAAACCCCCAAACAATTTCACAAAGTATGGGACCCATGGCTAGAGGGAGACACAACCATCCCCTGGTAACCTGTATGCACAAACAGAGAACCAGCCGACAACACAGCAAACGACCAAGCCGCTAACAAGCTACTCTTCACTGAACACATTATACCATGACTCCTACGCTCGACACTGCTAACCCCCAGCCCCCCTGGACCCAATCTTGGGGACGCCGCACCCCGGGCGGTCCATAGGCTGCGACCCCAACCTTCAACCCGACCCACTATAACCAGGCCACCTACACCACCACCAACTTAATGGCCTTACCCCACCACCCCAACCATCCACGACACAACCGGAAGCACCACACACCTGGGAACAGGGGAAACACTAGGACGACCACCTCACTAACGAGTGCAATGACGAACCTGAAAGGCGGGACCCGATGCAGGGGTTCAATAGCTGGAACACAACAAACACCAACCGTGGTTCCTTAAACTCGACAGGAGAATGATGGACCCGACAACAAAAGCTACAACAGCTGACTCGGACTAACATAATAGACCGGGACTTAACGGCTAAGTTAACGGGACAATACACCCCCACTCCAGCCGCACTCACGACCTGCACGGACTCTCTTCCCCTCCCTCAGTAACCCCACCGCTCTGAAGGGGTACTAGATTACACATCAACACTGGTTCAATAACTGATAGCTATTATTGTCTAACTTATAATGTTTGCCATTGTACTACAATATTTCAAAACGTACCCTGCGTTGGTACAAACCTGACTGGATGGAACTGTTGTACCCCTCCCCTATTACTTTCTGTATCCCTTCCCTTGATTATCGATACAAACACAAAACCGATAAATAAAGAATGATAAAAAAAAAAAGAAGAAATCTCCAATAAATAGGGCAACGCAATAGTTACATCATTATCTTCATTAAACTTCGATAACTAAAAATGCGTCATTTGGGGGAACACATGCACTCTCTACTGTAGATTTAGGGGATCTAAAGGTATGGTGGGTGAATTGAAACTTCCATCACATGAAAGATTAACACCATGAGCTGATTTAATAGAACACTATAGTCACCTAAACAACTTTAGCTTAATGAAGCAGTTTTAGTGTATAGATCATGCCTCTCGGGTTTCACTGCTCAATTCTCTGCCATTTAGGAGTTAAATCACTTTGTTTCTGTTTATGCAGCCCTAGCCACACCTCCCCTGGCTATGATTGACAGAGCCTGCATGGAAAAAAAAGACTGGTTTCACTTTCAATCAAGTGTAATTAACCTTAAACAATTGTATCTCTTTTTTCTGTAAATGTAACTTTAATCACATACAGGAGGCTCTTGCAGGGTCTAGCAAGCTATTAACATAGCAGGGTAAAGAAAATCTAAATTAAACAGAACTTGCAATAAAGGAAGGATAAACTTTAGATGACTCTTTACAGGAAGTGTTTAGGAAGGCTGTGCAAGTCACATGCAGGGAGGTGTGACTAGGGTACATATACAAAGTGAATTAACTAATAAAATGGCAAATAATTGAGCAGTGAGACTGCAGGGGCATGATCTATACATCAAAACTGCTTCATTAAGCTAAAGTTGTTTTGGTGACTATAGTGTCCCTTTAATCATTGAATTCTTGAGGAGAGGAAACTTAGTAACTAATTATACATAAATGCATGTGTGTTAGTGTGACAACTCTACTACATTCCCAATCAGAGATATAAAGTGTTCGCGGGAGCTTTATTTATAACCACTACAAAAAGCACTTCTTATTTCGCTGTCTCTGTAAAGGGCTAATATATTTTCTGTTGTTTTTTTGTGCCTGGATTTGTTGTTGTGTTAAGCATCTAATGCTTTTTTTGGCACTTTAGCCATTTCAGCTGTCTGACCAGTGACAGAGTTCAGATCAGCTAAAAATAGCTGTTGGAGACCTGTGTTTGGTGTCACTGACCCAGGAGAAGATGCTGAGCTTGATGATAGCTTTAGCAGGCATCGTGTTTTACCCAACACTCGTTACCCTTTAATCAAGCTTCACGTCAACAGTTCAGTTTCTTAGCTATTGGTTGGTTTTATCTTTACAGTCAACAGCGGGCAAGGGGTGATGGGAGAAGCTGTCTGGTTCAGCTGGAAATTGGCCAGTTTTTATTAAAAATGTATTAGGATGGTTAACATTGATTTGTGTCCTGTACTAAATCAGGTACTGACCTATTTGACACACGCCATCAACTAATTGGGATGTATTTACTGAGAAGAGAAATGCACGCCACGCAAATTGCAAATAATAGGACAAAAACCAGGCCGTAACTCTGGTTTGACTTGTGGTTTCTGCTCCCATGCTGCTCAGTTACTGGTTTAAAATATCTGTGAAGGACATATTATCCCTCATCACATCAGCAGTCCAACAGTTAGACTTTTAATAATTCTGTTCCAGTGAGATTACTGACAAAACATGGACTTTTGGTGTCCCTGGAGGACTGGGTTGGGAACCACTGCCCTTAACTCCAGTTTTTCCAGGATCTTCAGATCTTCTCCAGAGTAATGATCGTGTCCGGAGTCCGGACGCAGAGCTCTGTGGGAAACACTGACTTCTGAAACACAAACTATTGTTTCCTTAATTCCACAGTGCTGGGACATTAACCCTTTCTCCTGGGATTGATGGAGCAATGAGGGGGGGTGGGTAGGTTAAATTACGGTATTGAGAAACAAGAGTTGGAATCCCTGGCAGGGAACACCTGTGGGGGGTATTCACACCCATCCAGCCCTCAGTGATAAAGTGAACTAATTACTTAGAATTTAATCAGAAATCCCTGATTAGTGAAGTATTATCACCATCTCTTTATTACCCTTAATGAACGGAACGCCCTGACTGGACTCAAAGAAATACATCAACAGTCTTGCTGGTTTCCTGCACAATCTCTGTGTTTACATCTAAATTCAAAGAGATTTATTCTCAAACTTAGAATTGTGCGAGATTTTAAGAGGCAATCTCAAATTCCAGCCCAAAAAGGCCAAACTGGAGAACTTCTTCAACTCGGCTGATTTGTCTATTTTTACCCAAAGTTCCTTTGTTGCTTCTGCACAATTCCTGGGTTTAGTAAATATCCAGATTTCTGGAAGTATAATCATTAGTTAGTGTTCCTGGTCAAACCTAATACCATCATGTTGATGGGAGTCACATTAAAAGTTCTGCCCTGCAGGATGTAGCCTTGTGTATAAAATCCTGTCAGTCTATAGATGAGCAAATCAATTCGCTAGGCAAGCTTTGAACAATTTGTCCATCCGTATATTAATAGGTGTATGATTAGTTAAAAGCGCTACGGAATCTGTTGGCGCTATATAAATGGCGATAATAATAATAGTTTTACAGAGCTGAAAGGGATTTGTGAACAAGTCTATAAGGATATATATGCTACAAGGTAATTGATTAATTACTTGCATCCCTACCTACAACATTTAAAGGACCACTAACATCTCATTGACGTGGTCCTGTATATTTAAACTTTCACGGTAAAACATTGGCGATTTGCAGACAGGGCAAAGTTTACACACACCGCTAGTGGCTGTCAAACAACTGAGTAAAAATTGTTCACGTGATACGGCACCTTACAGGAAAGTATTGGATTCAATGCGTTCCTATGAGAAGCGTTGGATGTGTGTGTAGCGCATGCACGTCAGGACCCCCAATGCTAATTAATGGGGGGGGGGGGGAAACAAAAAACCTTTAAGCATTTTTTTATTCTTTAAACAAACAGGGAGATTGTGAAAGTTCCTATTTCGGAATATCTGCAACTAACAGTGACAGAAATATTTGTTGGAAAACATAAGATGCCCTGGGGCACCGGCAATAAGAAGTGTTCTGACACAAATAAAGGAATAAATGGGCAGAAAAACACCCTAGAAAAAAAACAAGAGACTTTACATATCGCTCCCCCAGTGGTAATTCTCCCGCTCATCTGCATATTGTGCCCTGCCTGTGCCTGGACTAGATTGGTTTGTGATGTCATTTGCTAAAAGTTTAGTATAAATTAAAAGAAAATGAAGCTTCTCATGAAACAAGTTTAGACAAGTCATGTGATTTTCCAAGTTGTATTCAGCTGTGTAATGTCTAAACAAGTGATGGCTCCATTTTTTAAATTTTTTTAAACCCCTACAAACTTATTAACCCTTAATAGGAACACATGGGCTGGGCGGCAGCATTATGGGTAAATAAATACATCATTATTTGGGCCAGTGTGCAGGTTTCTATATTGCAGTTATGTAACAGTTTCTTAGAATCCTGGTTCTGTCATGTAAGGTATTTACAATTTAGTTATTTTATATTCAGTAAAATGTGTCATCAAAACATTTTTCTACAGAAATCTTGTAGAACTCCATCTCCCAAATTGCTCCATTTTATCACCTCTTTCTGTGATCTCCTAAAATAGAATATTAATAGAATTATACCCAGTGTGATTGACCTCATTGATGTGTTAGGGACACTCCTGACACCTGGCAGCCCAGCTCTGACATTCAATCTGAGCAGAAAATATTGTGAGCAGCAGCTCAGGGGGAGAGGGACTGGTGACGAGCTGGTAACAGAGGGAAGGAGAGATTTCATGTGGATCATGGAAGGGGATACAATGTAACAAGACAAAAGCAGAGGACAAGATGCCAGCATCTGAAACAAGGCAGGTTTAGAGCAGGAGGTCAGGGTGAAGGGACACAGGGAGTTGCTGTGTGGATCAGGGGCTGTCCTTGTCCTGGGCTCTGAGCTATGGTTGTGCTGCATTTCTCCTTATCACATCCAGCCTTACACTGACAGCAGCTCCTGGGAGAGAGGGCTCAGCAGCATGGGATAGAAGCAGAGAGGAGCCTGGGACATAGGAGGATCCACTCACCCTTTGGGGTACCAACATGGAGGTCATGGAGCAGGAATCAGAGGAGGTAAGATGGCATTTCTGGTTATATTATTTACCTTTTTGCAGTCTCTAGTTTTGCTGTAACGTATAAGACATCATTAATATCTACCCCATGGCAGGCAGGGGTCGCAGGTTTCCTGTTAAGTGTGACAGATTTATTTTTATATTCTTTATGACATCCTGCCAGGGACATTGGAGGCTGTTTATCTTGTTTATTCAAGCAGGGAGGGGGCTGGCTCTGTACTCTGTGTTATTATTTTATATTATTTACTAATAATCCTTTCTTGGGGCAGGGAGGTAGATATCAGTCAGGGCAGGGTGTGCAGCTACAGCTCCTGCTCTCTGTATATTAGATTTCACATGTTCTCACTTAACTTGATAAAACATGTGCTGGGACCTGCTCTCAGCGAATAAAATATTAGTTGGATTTCAAATACTCTCATCTAATGACACATCTTCCTTTGCTGTTTAGCAGCTGATCTACTTTGGACCACAGTATCCCCTGAGCCTGGTACCAGGTAATGTCATCTAGTGCTGGATCCGAATGGGTCACCTTTGGTCATCCACAATTCAACTCCGATCAACCTTCATTGACACAATTTTTCTTTTTTTTTTTTCACTTTTATTTATTAATTTCCCTTTTAGGTCATTGCTGTAAAAATATAAAGTGTCTTAGAATATGTCAACACTATAAAAAAACGAGAGAGATTTCTGGGATATTCACTAAAGAGTGAACTGTTGGCAGTCGGCCAGGGAATTTAATATCATGGGGCAAAATAGCTGACAAGGAGCAATTCTTCAACCTTACTACTTTTGGACAAAAAATTCAATTCCTCTATAGGATTCTTACTATTTCATTTTTTGTGAACAGTGCTGACTGTTATCACAGTTCTACAGGCTCTGTGCATAATTCATTTGCAATCCACATTAGAATATTATATTTTGTTTTAAGATTTGTGTCAACAATTTGTATAGCATACAAGTATGTCCCGTCGAGTCCCTTGCTCTCTGCCAAAGACCTACGTATATCCTCTCTCCGTACTCCCACATCTGATGCTCGCCTACAAGACTTCTCCAGGGCTGCACCTTTCCTGTGGAACTCCCTTCCCTTCTCCGTTAGACTTTCACCCAGTCTCCACTTATTCAAAAAATCTTTGAAAACACACTTCTTCGGGAAAGTGTACCATTTACACTGTTAGTGGGGTTTCATCCCCCTCCAGCAACTGTCCAAAATAACCTACCAAGTAAATACTTTTCTAGCAACCTATTTCATTACCCCTACTTATACCCTCTGTGTCACTATAACCCACTCCCTCTAGCATGTAAGCTCATTAAGCAGGGCCCTCAACCCCTCTGTTCCTGTGCATCCATTTGTCCGGTTACAATTACGTGTCTGTCAGTCCACCCATTGTACAGCGCTACGAAACTTGCTGGCGCTATATAAATAATAATAATGAGGTACACGCTATGTATAATCAAATTTTATCCACAAGGTGCAAAGCTAGGCAGACACTCCCCTAACTGTCAAACACAATAATGCACAAACAAACCAGGATTCACACAAAAGCTATAATTAAAATATAATTAATGCTTTATTTACACACTAGTACAATAATTAAACATACGCAACAAATAAAAAGAGACCACAGTAAACAAAAGACTAGAATCTGTACATCAATACGTACCAGTATTGCCATCAATATCCCACCAGGTGAGACCAAGTGATGACGTCCTATCTGGTCTCCATCGAGATTCTCTGCTGATGGCCATCAGCTGCCCAGAGCGGTATATTTACGTGACCAGGTAGAGTTTGATACAAGGCGTATCTTGAGAAAGGCGTCCCTGGAATGTTGCTGGTTTGGTGGTTGTGTCCTGGAAGGCTATCAGTGGTAGTGCTGTTACATTCTAGCCCTTTTCACTGTTTTCTCTTTTGTGTTCGTTTTATTTATTTATTTATAAAATATTTTACCAGGAAAGATACATTGAGATTTCTCTCGTTTTCAAGTATGTCCTGGGTCCACAAAACATTGCATTGTTATAATAGGATACAATATTACAAAAATACAATATACAAACAATAAATACACACACACACCTATATACATTTTACATAAAACAGATGATAAAAATATTCACATAAATGTATGTGTTTTAATTTATTCTATTTGTGTAAACAAAGCATCAATTAAACTGTCAGTAGATTTGGTGTGCATCCATTCTGCCACCTTACACTCTTTGAGAGTGAGCTCCTTTTTAGTTTTTTTTTTTTTTATATTAAATATATATAGACAGTCCGAGGGGAGTCGGAGGGAATAGAGAATCAAAGCTATGAATGATGTGAAGCTGTAAGATAAATAAAATTGTAACAAAATTTCAGAGTGGAAGTCTTCAATAAAATGCTGCAAGAATCCACCATATCCGAAGTATTGGTTCAGGGAACTTACCAGAAAAGAGAGAGAGGAAAATCCCTAATTTATCAATTATATTTTTAATATAAACACTAAAAGGAGTTCATTCACAAAGCGTGTAAGGCTGAATTGCGATCTCCTCAAACTAAACTGCCTAACCCGATACTGCGATTCGCTGTCAATATTACTACAGACCCTCTGTACGGCCTAAATTCCTTTGGCTTTTTTCCCATTAGAGTGACCTTCTTTATCCACTCAGAATGTTTGCTGTGAGAACATTGATGTTCTAAAAACAATAAAAATTGTTAATTTATTTAAAGAGTAGACATTCATTTCTCTTGCGCAGGATGATGGAGTCTGTCTCATTCTATGCTCTGTTCCGCTACAGATCTGGGAGAAGATGCTGGACTTTACATGGAGTTCATGATGAAGAGTCCATGCTACAATGCCATTCCTACGAGTTGTAAGCTGGTTGTGTTTGACACCACTCTGCAGGTAAGTAATTAATGAATTGGTCCGCTCACTGGACTTTTCAAGTGTTCTAATTTTGCTTAAAGCAACTCTATGTGTTAGGAATACAAACCTGTATTCCTAAAGGTTTAGCGTTCTCTTCACTTTTTGGGTTATCAGGCCCCTGTGAGGGTTAAAAAGGCAAGATTAACTTAACTTATCCCATGGTGCACTGGCTTAAACATGGTTGCTTCACTTCCTCAGTTGAGATCATCAGTCGTGATGGTCTCAGCCAATCTAATGCTTCCCCGTAGGGATATATTGGGAGGATAGGGTGCATGCGTGGCATATTGCTGTGTCAATTAGCGTCTTCTTACAGAAGTGTATCTCTATGGGAAGCGTTCAGTGTCTCCATGCAGAGCATAGATAAGCTAACGTACATCCTGCAGAGATTGTAGGACCTCATCCAGAAAGTTCCTTTACTTCATTTTTCCAGAAAGCCTGCAGGAGCAGAACTCCTTCATTAAGCTGTAGTGGTGATTATAGTGTCCCGGTAAAATAATGAAAAGCTTGCTTAAATCAAGACCATTTTGGCTGCACCTGGTCCTTTTTCAAGAAGCTATCTTGAAAGCGTTGTGTATATATGCTAATCCTATTAAGGGGGGAGGAGGAGGAAGCTGTATGGAACTGACAATTAAAGGACCACTATAGGAACCCAGACCACTTATGCTTAATGAGGTGGTCTGGGTGCCAGGTCCAGCTAGGGTTAACCCTTTTTTCTATAAACATAGCAGTTTCAGAGAAACTGCTATGTTTATAAATGGGTTAATCCAGCCTCTAGTGGCTGTCTCATTGACAGCCGCTAGAGGGCTTACGCCCTTCTCACTGTGACTTTCACAGTGAGAAGACGCCAGTGTCCATAGGAAAGCATTGTAATTGCTTTCCTATGGGCTGGCTGAATGCGTGCACGGCTCCTGCCGCGCATGTGCATTCAGCCGAAGAGGAGGAGGAGGAGAGCTCCCCGCCCGGCGCTGGAGAGAGAGGTAAGTTTAACCCCTTCCTCCCCCTAGAGCCCGGCGGGAGGGGGACCCTGAGGGTGGTCCTTTAATATGCAACATTTAGATCAAAATAGCTGTCTTGGAAGATGCTGGTGGCACCCGCGAGGGGCAGGCTCATTAGGTTCAATTAAATAAATCTCACCTTCCCCCCCCTTTAGACCCCCAGTGGCAATGTCACTGTCGAGCTCTTTGCAAATTCTGCAAAGTACCCAGTTGGTGCCAGTGGTGCTTTATTTTTGCCCCCTGGCTGGAGTCAGCTCACCACAACTCACTGTTTACCGTGCTATTTTAAACAGTGATATTCACATTGATTTCCTGCCAATTCTTAAATTTAAAGCAAAAAGTAGCTGAATTGGAAAAACTATCTAAGTCAGCTATACTTCCAATTCAGCCATTTTGGGCTAAAATTTGAAATCCACTTTAAATTCCTGACAATCCTCAATCCTCACCTGCTAGTGTATAAATCCCAGCGATGTTCCTGTCTCCGATAATCATTTATTTATTTTTTTGCAGAACTTATTTTTATTGTGTTTTGGATCCCTCTTGGGAGTGTAGTAGCTTTCTAATACTAAATTTGCTAACTACACCTTGATTAATATTGCATTTGTGATTTATTCTACATCCCTTTAAGTCCCTGCCATTTACTAAACTATGAGTTCATGATCAGAGAATAGCACATTTTGAGGCAATTATCTGGTCATTTTTCTGTAGCTGAGATTTTAGTTAAATCCTTGCTTATCCTATTCTCTGTAATCCATGGAGATTATTCCCTACAGATAAAGAAAGCCTTCTTAGCGTTGGTGGCTAATGGGGTACGAGCGGCCCCCCTCTGGGACAGCGCAAATCACTGTTTTGTGGGTAAGTTTGATTTACATGGTGACTCCTTCAATAATTCAGAATTCGTCTCATATCCCACTGTCTCTGTGTACCAGGAATAGAGTATGCCTGCCTGCCTCATTCCTGCTTGCGATCTTATTGATTTATTTATATATATATTTTACAAATCAATGTTTGTGAACGATTAGATACTGCAGCATCAGACTCCAGGAAGTGAACCTTCTGGGAAATGGTAGAACTAATATCATTTGAAGGGAATGTATACACTGGACATTAATTAATATTATTTAAGTATTTACTGCCAGGAATTCTATATATTCTCAGATTCAGCATTAAATTAACTAATCAGCTTTAACAAGGAATTTGTTTGTAAATATCTTTTCTTTTCTTTTTTCCCAGATGTTCTATTTTGTCCTAAAATGTGCATTTTCCTTATTTCTGATTATTTATTTATTTTTGTGGATATGAAACAATGCTTGAGATGTTTGTGTGTGTGTGTATGTGACATATTCTCAAAGTTGTCCTTATGTTTGTGTCTGATTATTTACACGTATACAGTGACTTTTGTTATATCGTTCAAATAGATTTGTATTGTATTGTATAAAAAGATATATCATTTGTTACATTGTATATATGAGCCGTAAACCTGGTAACATTGTATTTGGTGTCTCCGTAGGAATGCTGACAATCACAGATTTCATTAATATTCTGCACAGATATTACAAAGCCCCCATGGTAAGAACACATTCACACATACTCAGGGATGCTTGCTGCGGATACACAGCCCCCCTTTCCCCTTATTTATTCCCAGGTGCTAGTTACAAAGCTTGACTTGTTGTTGATGACTGATAATTACATTCAACAGTATTCTGAAGAGACCCAGTGACCTCCGGCAAGAGAAGGATGATCTGACAAATCCCAGCAACAGACCAGAATACTGGCAATCCAATCGCTTAGCGTTAGTGAGAATTGGGTTATATTGGCACCCCCATGGGGTTTGGCAGCATTTCGGAGTATGCAGACCTTCCTGAGGTCTTCAAGTGTTGGAATTCTTTTCCTTCTGACAGATATTTATAATTGTGCGTTTTATAATTGAGTCCCATTTATGGATTAAGGGAACGGGTCATTATTTTCCTCTGATTAATCAATAATGTGATTTTCACAGAAATATTTAAATTATTTGTTTTTTATTTCAGGTTCAGATATATGAATTGGAAGAACATAAAATTGAAACCTGGAGAGGTAAAATGAAACCAAGTATTTAACGTTTTGATTTCGTTCTTTCAGCTGTTTAATATATAATTTGGTACAACCAGGTGGCATTGCCTCTATTTTACCAAATTAAAGCAACCAAAACAATTATCTTGTGACAATGGTATAAGTGGAACTCGATCACGTCCAATATAGAACTTTCTCCTGTTTTTAATTAGGGTTATGCGGTACCATGCAAACATTTTTTAAAAAGAGACGTACAATAGTGTAAAACAATTGTGATTCAGTGAGCAATGCCACCTATAACGACTCAATGTAACCTCCAAAGAAGAAGAGAATGGAGACAGACTAGTGTAGTATATTAAGATGAAACCATATACTGGTACTGGGTTTGGCCGGTGATAGCAGGAGGAAGTATGGCATTTCCATGAGAGACTCAGGTCAGACCTCAAAACGCAAATCAAAAATCATGATTTGCGTCACTAATTAACATAATTATTTTTTTTTTTTTTTATCATTCTGGTTAACAAGTTCACTAAGCAATCAGACTGTCCACACACATATATATAATGTGCAACAACTTGTGTGTCTCGATTTCCTTGCAACATGTTTGCCTTTTCTATACATAAATGATCGCCATACGCACTGCTTGGGGATAAGGAAGACGGTTTCCCTGCTTTTTGTCTTTCAGAGATTTATTTACAAAGTTCATTCAAGCCTTTGATTCACATATCACCTGGAGACAGGTAAATCTGAAATCTGATCTCCCCACAATGATATTCCAAACTGATTAGCAAGTTCACTAAATTTAAATATATAATCATTCGTATTCAATAAAACAAGCTGTGAATTATACCGAGTTGACCTCACTGAACTATTCAGAATTTACCTATCAATACCCCCAAATAAATGCTGCAGTCTGCTGTTTATTGGGTTTATGTGGAGGTATTTTCAGACAAATTTGCATTATTTGTTGATATTTGGAGCCAGATTCATATTGTGTTGCCAGCAAACAAATTTATCATTGTTTCTATTATATTTACCTGTAAAACACAGGGGCTCCCAATATTCCTAAACATCCCCATTAAAAGCAAATTGAAATAGAATGTTACTGTGATGTTTACGTTTTCAAATACCAAATAATATTTAAAACTCCAAATTGAGAAAATATTCCCTACATCTTGAAATTCAGACTCTAGTGCGAAACCTAGACATAGATTATTAAGGAATCCTCTTATCGGGGAGAATATGTTACACCAATAATGTCCAGTCTTGCTCCTTCAGCGGTAGCCTGACAGCAACTCCCATCACTCTCTGGTTGGTAAAGCAATATGGCGATTGCTGTAAAAACAAGAGATGGAGGGCCAAGGTTGGACACCCCTGATAAACACTTTATTTTCCAGCCTGTTCCATGCCGTCTATTCCCTGATCAAGAACAAAATCCACCGTCTTCCAGTGATGGAGCCCATATCCGGAAACATTCTGCACATCCTGACGCACAAGCGGCTGCTAAAATACCTGCACCTTTTTGTGAGTAGAACAAATTAGACTTCGTGGAAAGGGGTTGAAACTAAACTGAATTTCAGTTTCCTGATCTAGAACTGTGAATGTGTGAGCTTGGATTTAGATGCTCCGTAAGTCTGCTGATCTCCATTCGATAATCAGCTGACATCGGTCCCAATTTGGCTCAACCCGAACTCTGACTCATTTCCTTCAGAATTAGTCTCCCGGACCCTTGTTAATGGTCTCATGCAAACTCAGAGGGGTCCCTTCTCCTATCTTACTATAGTACCTAATCCAGAGAACGTGTGCCGGGTTGTGATTGGGTCCTGCCATTATGGGTTATTTTTCATGTTTATAACTTTTACAGGGAATCAGTAAATTACTTAAAAGATACATTCTTGATAACATTAGTGGAAATGCTGCCTCATATGTTCTTTAATTTACAAGAGCCAATATGGCTCAAAATGTATTGGTGCATTCTTGAATCTGGGAAGGGTGTAATCTAGGGAGGGAGAAGGGCTTTAGTGTAGCCTAGAATTGCAGAACTGGATTGTACAGATACCTGGTTTTAGCCAGAAAACTATACATGGGGTAGATTGGCATTATAACCACAAATAGCTACTTTATTTTAACATCCTAATGACATTTGTGGGAGACTGCATCCCCAAAATAAAATAAACTTGCAGAACGTATATATTCATAAGTAATATCTGCACACATTCCATGCTCAGACTGTATAAAAATAGAAATCTATGGGTGAGAAAAGAGAGAGATCTTATACCGACCAGAATGTTGACTATAATTCATAGTTCTATATAATGTTGCTTATCTTCAAATAAAATCGCAGCACATTAAAAAGTCTGAAGACTCTCTTGCATATTATTTACTCGATGAAGTAGCATCGCAGTGTTGGTTTGCTGAGAGGAGATTATTCTTCAGTATTTATCTATCGCAAATAGACAAGGAAGGAATCTGTGTGTTGTCACACCGTTGTGAGATCTGTTGTGTTTGACTGTGTGACCAATCTGTCCACGCCTATAGGGAGACACTCTGCCCAGACCACGCTTCATGCAGAAGACCATTCAGGAGCTGGGAATCGGGACGTTCCGAGATATCGCCATCATTCAGGACACTGCTTCAGTATACAGTGCTCTAGAGATCTTTGTGGAGAGGAGAGTGTCTGCCTTGCCCGTAGTGAATGAAATGGGTGAGTAAAATGATGACTTTCTCCTGCTCACAAAGTCAGAGCACGTGCTATAGAGAGATTCAGCTAAACTTTAGGATGTCAAAAAACTGGAAGATAGCATGGGATAGCTTAGTGGTTAGTGCTCCTACAATAATGTCTTTAATACCTGTTCAGTTCCCAGCAATTGTAACGCAGACTTTCATCCTTTAGATATGAAGGATGGATGTTCTAGTAGAGTGACTGTAACATTAGTGCCTTCTTGCATAAAATGAAGATTATATAAAACTACCGCTAATGTGGTACCATAACCAGTACAGTGTGCTCTGGCTGTCCCACAATGTAAGTAATCAAATAGTTTTAGAACGGTTTGACTTCTTACTTTATGTCTGGGAGCTCCTGCTAGGAACATCTGTTGACTATCTTGGGCTAAGCACCACATAGAGCTGTGGTGGTTATAGTACTCAGAGTGTTCCTTTAAGCCCATGGACATGTTTCTTTACTCCCTTGGTACCAGTCTGTGTAATTCTATACCCACCTGTCTGTAACACTGTACCTAGTAATAGTTGTAAAATGTAGCAAATGCTCTGGATAAACAGATAAATGACACACCGTAAATGCTACGCTCATAAAAATGAACACTCCGATACGATCAGATATTCTGTCAATAAACTTGATGTGCAGCGTCTTACAGAATTCTCCTTTCCTGCACTATGCCATCCCTCCTTCCCTCCAGATGGCATTCCATTAACGCTGCAGACTTTGTACCAAACTCCCGGTAGGTGACCTCCTGGCTCGGAGTCTGCAGAATTGGCAGTGGGCATGAAATTTGTAAAAAGGTTTTACACAAATCTTTTAAGGAATTTATCTACTAAATGTCATCCAACTGCAGTGAATTGAAAACTATATTGTAAAATTTAGGCAATTCTAGCCAAGCTGTAACTATAGAGGTGCTTAGGAAATTTTCCAAATCCATTATTTTGACATACATGTCAATTACAATATATTATTGAATAATATAAAGTGTGTTTGAGAGGAGATTAGTCTGTGAACTATCTTCCCTTTCCAAAATAGAAAGACACGTAACGTGAGACTCTGCAGCTAGCTAGGGTTTCTGTCTGTCAATCTCAGTTATACTATGTAACGGCCCTTTAAATACTCTGGATTTATTTGACATATTTAAACAAGGATCCTCAAAATAACTTGAGATAAGTACAAGCATTTCTCACCTCTTAGTAATTCAAGATATTTGAGAGACGCTACCTGAAAATTTAAAGCTGAAGTCCTGTGGAAAAGAAATGTATTTTAAATATCAAAGGAACTCTATGAATTAATGTAATTATCATTTTAGCTTTAAATGCAGCTTTAATTGAATGCTAGATCCTGCGCTATGACTCAGATTTGGTTTATGGTTCTAGCCGCACACTGTAAACTGTTAATGAACAAAAATCAATATAAATCAGACACTTAGAGGTTTATTCACTGAACAAATCGTAGAACCTTGCAACTTAAACTCCAATTACAAAATTTAGGCCATATTCACAAATTTGGAATATTTCTTTAACTCTACATTTTGGATATTAAAATGTTTGCATTTTTTGTTTACAATTAGTTGTTTTGTAATAATCCCTACAGATTGATCTGCAGGCAGAGAAATTGACTGTCGCTCGTGTAGCACTGATGGGGGCGGTTGAAAGGCAATATAAAGTATAATGTATTTCTATTGGCATGGGTAGCCGTACCTTGGGGACGCACAGTGACAGTTTTAGAAGTGACGGACGCACAGTGGAAGTTGCGGGAGTGAATAGGATGAAGAGATTAAAATACAAATAATATGTATGATAAAACAGAGGGGTTGGCATAGCACCTGGGTTGTCCTCCTCTTTTATAAATCTGTATATTGAATGTTAAAGCACTTTAAAATCCATTGCCTTCTGCAATAATGCAAACGTGCCTATAGTAAAACAGAATATTTACCTTGGAAGTGTCTCGCTCTAAATTCCAATATTGATCAGAATACAATGAGAGTTAGAGCCAGAACGACCGGGTATTTAAAAGAATAATGTGGATAGTTCTACTCCTAACACATTCAAATATATATGATGAGCCACAGATTAACAAACCGATTCTCACACTGGACGTTTGTGCATTATTAGGCTTTGCAGCATGCGCAGTGAGGTCTAATAGGAGCATCCGTCAAAATTCTACCGCTTATTTGCTATAACACTGCTGAGCTTATCATTAGGGGTGCAGCAAGGCCTCTAGGAGATTGTACCTCAATTTATTTTAAATACATTTAGAATCTGTTACTCTACAACTTCCAGAAAGAAGTGTTTGGATATTGTACAGCAATATTTTTAAAGGGAAACACTGCAGAGCTCCTATAGTGCACATTCACAACACTTAAATATCCAAAGAAAAATCTAATTTTATTGTGAACCTCTGGTAAACTTATATTGTTAATGAAATCATTCCTGTAATGCGGTAATTGAACGGTGGATTTCTATACTGGGATTATTACTTGCCATCGTCTAATGACTAGTGATGTCCCGAACGGTTCGCCGCGGACTCCAGTCAGCAGACACATTCCAGCCAATCAGCAGCAGACCTTCCCTCCCAGACCCTCCCACCTCCTGGACAGCATCCATTTTGAAGCTGCATTCTTAGTGAGCTGTCCAGGAGGTGGGAGGGTCTGGGAGGGAGGGTCTGCTGCTGATTGGCTGGAATGTGTCCGCTGACTGGAGTCCGCGGCGAACCGTTCGGGACATCACTACTAATGACTTATTGTTTATGTGACAGTGATGGGTGTGGAGTCGGTGAGAAGTGAGCGCTCTGAGATGAAGGATGTGCCAGGGAATTGGAAGGCGCCAGGAATGGGGGAAAGGACTGGGGGGCGAAATGCCAACTGCTCATTAATGCTTTAACCCTGTGAGAGCTGGGAGTATTTAGCGATGCCAAGGGATATAAAGCAGTGTAATAACCGCTGAATAAGCATTGTATTTCTGTGACATTTGTATACCTAGGAAGAAATAGGCAATGTGATTACAATTAATCACATTTTAACTCTTTCTGTGCAGGTATGCTGCTTTCTGATAATCCCTCTCCTCTATAGAGAGATGTAACCCCGCTATACGCTACTCTCTGATCATCCCTCTCCCCCTATAGAGAGATGTAACCCCGCTATACGCTGATCTCTGATAATCCCTCTCCCCTATAGAGAGATGTAACCCCGCTATACGCTGCTCTCTGATAATCCCTCTCCCCTATAGAGAGATGTAACCCCGCTATACGCTGCTCTCTGATAATCCCTCTCCCCTATAGAGAGATGTAACCCCGCTATACGCTGCTCTCTGATAATCCCTCTCCCCCTATAGAGAGATGTAACCCCGCTATACGCTGCTCTCTGATAATCCCTCTCCCCTATAGAGATGTAACCCCCGCTATACGCTGCTCTCTGATAATCCCTCTCCCCTATAGAGAGATGTAACCCCGCTATACGCTACTCTCTGATAATCCCTCTCCCCTATAGAGAGATGTAACCCCGCTATACGCTACTATCTGATAATCCCTCTCCCCTATAGAGAGATGTAACCCCGCTATACGCTGCTCTCTGATAATGCATTAAACTGCCCTGTGTCTGCTCTCATTGCTGCAGGTCAGGTCGTGGGATTGTACTCTCGCTTTGACGTCATTGTGAGTATGAATTTATTTAATATTTCTAAACTATTGCTAAATTAACCCTCGACATATCAGTAGTGACCCCTCCCCCACAGCAGAAGATTAAATCCGCAAACTCCAGTGTCCTGAAATCTATGTCTTAATTGTGAATGTAATGATATCATTAGGGGCGCAGTGTCCATCTGTAACTATAAACCACCCATCCAGGGCCGTGCCAACAGGTGCTCTCATGTTTTATTTTGGTCATGTGTAGTTCACAGATTGGAGCCCTGCAGTTGGTATTTTTAAACGCAAGCAATATGGACTGTATATGGAATATATATAACTGTATATCTTACAGTTAGGATAGCCTTATGCCGATCCCACGCATGCTTAAAGGGACACTCCAGGCACCCAGACCACTTCTGCCCATTGGAGTGGTCTGGGTGCCAACTCCCACTACCCTTAACCCTGCGAGTGTAATTATTGCAGTTTTTTTATAACTTCTTTTATAACCACTAGAGGGCACTTCCGTGTCACGCTGTGTAAGGACCTACAGCGTCGCTCAATTCTCCATAGGAAAGCATTGAAAGCATTTTCTATGGAGAGCTCTAATGCGCATGCGCATTGGGTCTTTTCAGCCGGCGGGTGGGATCAGTCTCGCCCACCGGCTGACGTAAGGAAGGAGCGGCGACGAACAGAAACCACCGCCGAGGGACATTGGGGGTCTCAGGTAAGTGACTGAAGGGGTTTTCACCCCTTTAGTAACCAGGGATGGGGGGTGGGAGGGAGAGGGGTCCTGCAGTGCCAGGAAAACAGATTGTTTTCCTGGCACTGGAGAGTCCCTTTAAACTCCCTCACTGTGTTAACCTCTACCGCTTTAGCTGGAAGGCTATTCAATGCAATAGTGTCTCGTCTTTCCTCCAAGCTATACAGATGCATTATACATACTGCAGGGCCGTGGATACATTGTACACACTGCAGGGCAGCAGATACAATGTACATACTGAGGGCCTGAGAAGAAGTGGAGGGTTCACTTCACTTGTCCTTCCTGCTCCAATCTCCTTTTCTTCGTCTCCTACTTTACCTTTGTGCTCCTTGCAGACCCTTCCTGCTCCTTGCAGACCCTTTCTTTTCCTTCTCCTACTTTACCTTTTTGCTCCTTCTGATGAATTATTCTCCTTTACCTTGCTGACCATTCCAGCTCCTTGCAGACCCTTTCTGCTCCTTCTCCTACTTTTCGTTTGTGCTCCTTCTGCTCTTTTACCTTTGTGCTCCTTCTGTCCCTTCCTGCTCCTGCTGCCCCCCCATCCCTCACTTACCTGATCTGTAGGCAGTCTCTGCAAGCTGGGAGTTGCTGGCTGCACTGCCTATAGCTGCTCCCCCTCGGATTCATTCGAGAAAAAAGCAGGGATAAGGTCCTGTCCCTGCTCTCTCCACACCTACTGGCCGGCGCCGGTATTGCAAATTATTCTTAATCACACCGACAAATTGAAAAATCCAGGGGGGGCGGCGGCAAGTGCCCCCTTCTGCGGACGGTTTGTAATGTGGGATGTAGTGGGCGGGCCTAAAGGGGGCAGGCCAGTGATGTGCCCATGAAAGGGACAGGTCCAGAGAAAAAAGGTACGTCAGCTTGGCTGCCTGCCATTCATATATTCAGGGCCGACCATGCACCAAGTGCCCTCAGTGTAGCTTTCTGTGGACAATTACCGGATTCAGAACGACAGAGCCCTTTATTCTGCAGGAAGTAAAGGAATGAAATAATTGGGGTAGTTTCGTTGGAATTCCTGTCATAGTCAGTAGATTTCCTTCCAGCAGAAAGGGCAACACTTTGCATGTACTGCTCACCAGCAGGTAGAAGTGATATGTCCCAGAAAACATGGTAAAAGTGGTGAACTAATTTTTTGTCATTCCAAGAGACACACGGCTCCCTCTGCTGGTAATCAGCTAAAATGGACTTCTGATATTCTGTTTTATGTGCTTCACAAACTAAGAGACCGTATTTGCAATATTTGTTATATGATTACACATAATAGATTCAGTAGAGTTACCCTCAGTCTACATCTTTATATAAAAAAAAGAATATAAACCAACCATGATTTCTGTGTTACATTAATTATTCTAATCAGAGCTTTCTGTTTCTCTAAATGTCATCCCAAATTGTTCTCTCTGCATCACCCAGCACCTGGCAGCACAGAAAATCTATAACAATCTGGATATAACTGTCCACGACGCCCTAAAACTGCGGAACCTGTGTTTCGAGGGAGTCCTCATGTGTTACCCATATGAAACCCTGGAGGTTGTCATTGACCGTATAGTGAAGGAGCAGGTTAATATTTATATATCTAAATACTGGTGTACCGTGCGTCTGAAGCACACAGAGCTTACAATCTGAAGATTCAGACAGCTTGCACACAGATCTTACAATCTGAAGATTCAGACAGCTTGCACACAGAGCTTACAATCTGAAGATTCAGACAGCTTGCACACAGAGCTTACAATCTGAAGGTTCAGGCAGCTTGCACACAGAGCTTACAATCTGAAGATTCAGACAGCTTGCACACAGAGCTAACAATCTGAAGGTTCAGACAGCTTGCACACAGAGCTTACAATCTGAAGGTTCAGACAGCTTGCACACAGAGCTTACAATCTGAAGATTCAGACAGCTTGCACACAGAGCTTACAATCTGAAGGTTCAGACAGCTTGCACACAGAGCTTACAATCTGAAGGTTCAGACAGCTTGCACACAGAGCTTACAATCTGAAGGTTCAGACAGCTTGCACACAGAGTTTACAATCTGAAGATTCAGACAGCTTGCACACAGAGTTTACAATCTGAAGATTCAGACAGCTTGCACACAGAGCTTACAATCTGAAGATTCAGCCAGCTTGCACACAGATCTTACAATCTGAAGATTCAGCCAGCTTGCACACAGATCTTACAATCTGAAGATTCAGCCAGCTTGCACACAGATCTTACAATCTGAAGATTCAGCCAGCTTGCACACAGATCTTACAATCTGAAGATTCAGCCAGCTTGCACACAGAGTTTACAATCTGAAGATTCAGACAGCTTGCACACAGAGTTTACAATCTGAAGGTTGACAGCTTGTACACAGAGCTTACAATCTGAAGATTCAGACAGCTTGCACACAGAGCTTACAATCTAAGGCTTGTCAGACATCTTGGACGCAGATCTTACAATGTTTACTCGGCTAGCAGACACAGCGTGCTGTCTAGTTCAGACCGTTAATACACAAGAGTTTACAATTTAGAAACAAAAACAGATATTCAGATAGCTTGTACAGAACTTACAATTAACCAGTTATTTGTAAAACTTTTCATTTGTTTTTCTGCTCCCTCGCCCCCCCTTTATTCTCATTCTATGTTTATTTTCTTTGTTCCGTTCGGTGTCCCCTTTTTCCTTCTGTAGGTCCATCGATTGGTGCTGGTGGATGACGATCAACGGCCTCGTGGAATTGTGTCCTTGTCAGACATTCTCCAGGCCCTGGTTTTAACCCCAGCAGGTATTGACGCCCTTAATTCCTAGCCCTCCGAAGGCTCTTTTCTACCTTCACCCTGCACCTCCTCCTCCTCCTTGAGACACAGGTACGCTCCCCAAATTCTTAGTCAGGAGCAAGTGTGGGTGTGCGAAATTGCCTGCACTGCTCACCTCTGTTTCTGCTCTGGTGCTCGTTGGCACCTCTGTCCCTCAAACCTCTGCATTTGCTCCTAAGCTCTCCTTAGCTGCTTTTTATTTTTACACCTTCCTGTGTCGCAGGTATTGGCTTCTCTTTGTCTCTTTTCCTACCTCCTTTGCACCAATGTTCCTTATACATCTGAACCCTTACCAATTTGGACGAGACTTTGTAGCTGAGATCTTGTCATTTTTGAAACCCATCCCTGACCCCTGTAATTTGCAGCTGACATGTTGCTAATTTAGGACCCCCTTCCTGACCCCTGCATTTTGCATATGAGGTCTCATCAGTTTGGATGGATCCTTGAACTTTGCAGCTAAGCCAATGCAGGGCCTCCCATCTCTGTACTCTGCATGTGAGATCTTGCTACGTGCTGCCATGCCAAGAGTATGGGGGCAAAGTACAGAGCTACGCGCTTATTTTGTGCTGATTGATGAGGTGTTTTGCTTCCAAACACTGCACAGACTAGCAGCTTGTTTGTGCTGACCCATTTGTACATGTGGATATATATATAAATATAAAGTCACAATTTAGTTTTTTCTGATTGGACATAAAACTGTTCATATTGCATGTTCCTTTATTTCCTCCCCTGGTAATACTCCTATCTGCGGATATTGAGAATGAGATGCAGCGCGTGTTTGTCCAGCACGAATTTATGGCAGTCTCAAAGCATCTTTCTTGTGACAGGTGAACCGTTTGTCATTCAGTGATGACATCATCACTATGCCTTTGTGAAACCATTCTATTCCTGAATGTACGAGGTAGCAGCAGATGAATTCTGCTAGTGATATCCTGTAAATGAATCCTTTTACCTCTTACATGTTTCTTCTTCTTCTCACAGGTCTCGACCGTAATTCCTTGTGATGAGACAATGGATGGAAAGCTAGACTGGTTGTTGCTTTGGACTTTTTGCGGAATCTGAAGAGCTTTGATGATCTCGTGGCTTGAACGCGCCAGTGGGTTTCTGGAAGAAAGACTCCAGTCAACATTTTAGTACGAATGATCATCAAAAAAAGATAGGACACTTCTCTAAATGGATTCTGCCATAGCCAAGTGACTCCTAGAGCAAGACCTATTCGGATGTCTGGGATTTATTGCAAACAGAATAATCCTTACATGGAGAATATGCCACAGACTAAACTATTTCCCGTTTTTTGCAAATATGGGCTCTCTTGTTGTGATAATACAGGAACGAAGAATACTACAAATAGTGTGGTGTTAACGGATTCCTACAAGTTCGATTGCCATAGGGATTTGGCAGTTTTTGGATACCCTGACATTGATTTAATGAACTGAACTCTTAATTCCGGGATTTGTTAAGTGCATTTCCTCCAACTCCTGATGCAGGCAAAAAAAAATATATTTATATTGGACTAATTTTTGTCTGAAACGGTGATATCCTACATTGGGTGCCCCCGCTGTTACTGTGCTAGATGTCTCGCGATTGCTGAGAGAAAATGATGCAAAATATAATTAAGAGCCATGTTTGGACATCCCTGACCTATAGTGTTTGTATTGGAAGCCATGGCTTAATCTTTGCCTCTCCTGCCAACACCTGGATTGGTGAACTGGATTCACCAAAAATATATTTATATTTTTTGTTTATTTTGTGTTGGTAAAAAAAAAAAGTACAAAAAAATAAAAATAAATCATACACCATATAGGGAGAGGTTGGTCATATTTAATTAATTTATAGTGGAGATTATTCTTTATCGTGGTAGTATTCCTTGACAGTCAAAAAACGTTATTCAAAACATTGAAACAGATGATGGCTTTATACAGTGCTGGTTTCTGCTGCATAGATAACTATTATATATTTTTGGAAGTGGTCATAAGACAACCCTCTCAAGAGGATTCGTTATTAAATGACTACTAGAGCGAAGATATGATTCTTCATTCTATGAAATGCCTGTTTGTTGTTTCATGCACATTCTAAAGGACTGAATCTATTGATATTTCACCTATTCTCAGCCTTTAGCCTTACATCTGTTTACTGAGATGCTCTGATAAAAAAAAAAAACCTACATTTATATCTGTAGCAGACTGATTTGTTGTATTCCAGTTCTTTTCGCATTGCGCTGCTCACCCCTGTTGTATTCAAGGGGTTAAACTAATGCGGCCATTTTATTCATTGCTTTTAAATACATTTTCATGGTTTCTTTAAATCCACTCATTCATGTACATTTTAGAAATATTATTATTTTTTTTTGCTATGGGGAGGAGTATATAGTTACATAACTGATGTGTCGGAGTTCAGTTGCTTTGCCAATAACTTATGTATATATATTTTTTTTATAACACTAAAAGGAGTACTGAGCACTTTACAGATTATATTACACTAGAGCAGGGGTAGGCAATTGTTGGCACTCCAGATGTTGTGAACTGCATCCCCGTGCAAAGCATCAGGGAAGATGTAGTCGATAACATCTGGAGTGCCAAAGGTTTCCTATGCCAACAGTAGAGGAAGGTATTGTAAGTGCAGTAGGTATACAGTATGTATAATATATATATGTACATAGCACTTACAGGTGTACTCAGCACTTTACAGGTTACATTACAGTAGAGGGAGGTACAGTAAGTGCAGTAGGTATACAGTGTATGTATATTATATTTATATAGCGCTAACAGGTGTACTCAGCCCTTTACAGGTTACATTACAGTAGAGGGAGGTACAGTAAGTGCAGTAGGTATACAGTGTATGTATATTTTATTTATATAGCGCTAACAGGTGTACTCAGCACTTTACAGGTTACATTACAGTAGAGGGAGGTACAGTAAGTGCAGTAGGTATACAGTGTATGTATATTGTATTTATATAGCGCTAACAGGTGTACTCAGCACTTTACAGGTTACATTACAGTAGAGGGAGGTACAGTAAGTGCAGTAGGTATACAGTTTATGCATATTATATTTCAAACAGGTGTACTCGGCACTGTATAGGCCACATTACACTAAAGAGAGGTACAGTAGTTTTACAGTGTATTTATATTTTATAAATTACTAACTGTACTCCGCACTTTACAGGTTACATTACAGTAGAGGGAGGTACAGTAAGTATACAGTGTGTATTTTATATATTACTAAGTGTAGTATTAGCACGTTACAGTAGAGGGAGGTACAGTAGTTGCACAGTGTATTTTATATGCAATGATAGCGGAGGCTGCAAAGATAATGCCACTTTATAACCTCCTTCTTGTCAAGACAAGTAATGACCTGTTTGTTGCAATTAATTGGCTACACAGTGACATAATGTGTAGTGGGAGTCATTTATGGACTGTTATCTCATCCCTTTATGGCAAAACCAGACTCGTCGCACATGAGGCGAGGCTTAAAGTGCATCTGTCACTTTCCAGGGTCTTAACATAATTTGCAAAGACCCCAAAGGTGACATCTCCAGGCTCCTCGGAATGGACAAAAGTTGACTCTGCAGCTACGCCTTTCTGTTTCCCTTTTGCCAACTTCCGGCTTTACCATAAGACAAAGTAGTCCCTGCTTAGTATTGCTTTGAAATTGAAATGGAAAAACGTGGTTCAGCCAACTAACTTTTTAACATTTAGTTTGTTGCCTATTTTCAGCTTGTCTGAATACAAGTTATTTGGACAAACTATACAAGTGCTAAAATGGGCCAGAGTACTGCAAAATATAAATAGTATGTGTATAGTTTTTAAAACGAAGATTTGCACATTTTCTACTTGAGCCACAGACTAACTTCAGCTTCCCACACCACTGCAGTTGTGAAATCGCTATCCAAAAACCGTAAAATCTTCAGCAGTGTGTCTACAATCAAGCCCTGCCTGTAATATCTACTAATGTTTAACAATTCGTTTGTTTTGTTTTGTATATGTTTTTAGATGTGTAACCTGGCAACATATGGAATTGTATTGTTCGCATGTTCCGAGACAAGCTTTGAAAGGAAAGCAATCTCCGTGTATTTACCTGGAAAAACCAGGCCTGTTCTTCAAAAATATATATTGTGTGATATAAATATAGTAGAGTCTTTTTCTTGAAAAAGGAAAGTTGGCATATATCTGCCCTAAATGTTCTGTAATCTCAATTTTTAAAGTTGTTTTTTTTGTTTTTGTTTTTTGCTTTGGCTGAAAATACATCTGTTTCAGCCACAGAGTGAGGATATGAGTCTAATCTTTAAAGAGACATACCCAGCCCCCTTTTAGCTTAAGCTCATTTAAGTTGTGATAAGGGGTCATTGACTTCTGGAGATAAAGTTGGTGGTGTGTGCCTTTCAGAGTTGCCCCCCGCTTCCTTCCTCTCTGTGCTGTAGTAGGAGGAAGGTTTAGCTGGGTGGCCTTTCACCAGTCGCCCATTGTGAGAGATAGTGTATACAGTGGTGTATTTTGGATTTGTGCTGCCCTATGCACTACTAAATTTGGGCAGACCCTAAATCACAATTTGCCCTCATTGATACATGCACCGATATACACTCACTGACAGATACAGTCATTGGCACACACACTGTTTAACCAACACACACTTTCACTGACAGACACACACTGACACACCCACTCACTGACAGGCACACACTCTCAGATACACGTAAAATGACATACACACACTGACAGGCACATCCATTCTCACTGAAAGACACACACACACTTTCACTCACTCACAGAGAGAGCGCAAGAAGAGCGGAGGACAACGCTCTCTTGCCGCCTGGCTAGAATATTAGTAGTTTAACAACTCGGGGGTGGGGGAGAGGGTGGGACAGCCCCAGAACATGAGGCAAACAAGGCATTTGTCTTGGAGCTTGGGGTGGTGTTTTTTGGTGCCCCCTCGAAAGTGCCTCCCTAGGCAAATGCCTTGTGGTAAATACAGCCCTGAGTGTCTATAATCTTCCTCTAACTGGACGGCCAGACATAGGAAGTGGGATTTTTCCTCTAAGAGCATTGTCTGAAAATGTAAAATATATAATTTTTTTATGCAGTTTATAGATCAGGGATTAAAATCTCAAATACTTTGCTACTGGCCAAGCCTTAAAAGTTACTCCCACTGCAACTCCGCACGTCCATGGGTCCTGAAATGGATAGTATCAGCCAATTCACGATGGTACACGTTCTTTCAGCTGGGTCTGAGCTTCCAGTGGACCCTCTCAGGTAAATCAAGGTAATGTGAGCTTAGACACGCTGGCAATTAAACCAAATCTTACTGACACTACATATTAACTGGAGTAAATTCAAGGCACCAAATGTTCTTGGGAAAAAATAAATTTGTAGTCTTCATAAAGCAATTTATCCGTCAGCTAACAGTCATTGCCACTGGCTGGACATTTATGAAAATGTAAGGTATTCTCGATAGGAAGAGGAAACAAGTACCACATTAGTGTAAAAACCTTTATGAACTGTAAATGTAGAATGTGAGATTAAAAATATGGAAATATAGAGGGTTTATGTATTGTGTACTGTGCTTATCAGTGGAGTACTTGATATAGGACGTTGGATTTTGATTTCCGGATTTATAGCTTTCCTTCAGATAGATTAGTCACACTCGGAAGAAGATTACAAATGGTGGAGATCTCAGTTGATGCCATGATCAAAACCACCACTAGGCTACATCTTCCAGTGCGAGTGAGTGAACTCCATACTGTGCAATAGCAAGAAGGAATTGCAAAAAATGACAGTGTTTTTAAGCCTATGGGGAGATAGAATGATTCTTATTAAAGGGACACTCGGACCCAAGGAGAACAATTTGCTGAATTGCTTTATGTGTATAGAGGGTGTCCTCTTCTTTTTTTTTCCTCTCATTTTAAAAAAAGTGCAGACTTAATCAGAATTTCTTACATTTGCAAATGAACCTTGTTACTCCTCCTGACTTTCAATCAGACAATCGGTCCTGTTACTTTCTGGTTGTTTAGCTCAGTGGAGATAAACTCAAGAGGCAGCAATTAACCCGAGAAATTGCCCTGCAAAGACTTCTCATTTAGCTGCATTGGGAAGTCTGGGATTGGACAGCCGCAGAGAGTCTGGGTGAAAGAGATCTGCAGCTTTTGCAAGCTTTTTTTTTTTCCAATTCTTTATTTTTGGTGTACATGAGATTACAGGTAACAAACAAACTCAATGTGCCACAACAGCAGTAGTAAGCGTGAGTAATAGAAGAAATGGAATGGCATGTGGTAACAAGTCAGCACAATTTTATGTTAAGTTAATCAAGCTAAACATGCGTAAAGAGATTATTACTTGTACAGGTTTAAGATACCTGAGAGAACAATACTAAAATTATCAGGTCGGCCCAACCATGCATAAGTAGACACGTTAAAGGCATCAGGGTTTGGTAAGCAGGTATGAAAATGTTAATAAAATCACACTAGACTTATACTGGAGGTCTTGTGGTGAGTTCTGTGTCTGCAATAGTATATTCCGTGGCTCATTGCCAGGGTCAGCCAATGCCCCACCGTGGCATCCCACAGCCCAGTTCTGTGAGTCCTAGTGTGGGTCCCGGCTGCTCGCTCGAGTGGAGGCATGCTGTTGAATAACTGGAGTAAAACCTGCCCATTGGAGCCTTCTGGATACTCCTTGGAGTTGTAAAGTTCCATCGTGAGTGGGGATGCAGGTTCTTCTGGGACCCCATATCGGGTTGTGGTGTGTGGCTGGGCCTGGTTAGAGTTGGCCTTTTCCTGTGTTGGGAGGTAGCCGCATTTGGGTGCAGACGCATGGGTTTGTTTGTGGGGAGGAGTCGCCTCCTGCAGCTTCATTTTTGGGCTTTCCTTGTTCGGTGATATGTGCCTCCAAGACGGGAGTGTGAGGGAGGCGCCAAGGGTGAGTACTCATCTGGTGAATGTGAGAGCTTGTCGCTCTCTGCTTTCCATCTTCCCCCAGAAGGCCGCAAATATGGCATCCAGCCATGCCAGTAAGTCTGACCCCTTTGCTGTGTCAGTTGGCCCAGTGCTGATCGCCGCCAATAGGAAGCTAATAAGTTTGTCGTATAATCAGTAACATTTGCCTAGAAGAGCAGGAGCAGCTCTATCCTGTGTCTGCTCAGCTCAGCCCAGTCCCTGCAAGCTGGTTTTAAATATACCCTCAATGAAAAAATGCATGTGGCTCTGCACAGCCCTATTTAGCTCAGTGGAGCTAACCAGATTCTCCTGGAAGGAGCACAGGGGGATCCAGGTAAGTTTAAAATGGTTTGACAAATTACTCTGGGAACTCCTGGCACTATAACCACACAAGATGAGCTGTAGTGTTAATAGATATTCTCCAGTTTCATTGTAAAGTCTATGAGGAGATGAAAGGTTCAATGCTGTCATTATCTATAATAAACCTTGTAAAGGTCTATTCTGCTCACCCAGCACGAAAAATGCAGGTTACTGGAAAACCCTTGTGCAGGGAGGTGGAACACTAAAGTTAATGCCTAATCAAGTGAAGTATTTTCAAGAATTTGACAAAGGTTGACAGTTGACCACTAGAAATGGCCCTTATTTGAGATCCTCCTATAAACCTGTTGACTTGTAGCAAGGTACGATCGCTAGATGTTTGTTCCAGACTGGAGACTAAGATGTCCTGTGTCTGCTGTGGCCACAAACACTCCCGTCTGCCCTCCTACAGACTGCACCATTCTCCTCCTTGGCTCCTGAGCTTCATTTTTGCCATTCAGGTAAGTGATGGCCAAATCATCTTAAGGCTTCATGGACACTAGTCTAGCAGGGGCAACTGTAAGTCATTTTAAGTGGTCACCTTAAGTGGCAAAATACTCAAAATACTTTGGTGGGTGTTGTAAATTGGGACAGATATACTGTGTATTAAGCTCAGTATTGTTTATTCTGACCTACATCATAAAACCAAAATCAGGCAAATCAGTCATTAGTTTTGTCACTGTAATTCAGGTATGTTTTATCCATCTGCCCTGTATGATGACTGCCATTTGGGTTAACACGGACCACAAGTCACAGGGCTCCTTTATAAATAAAATGAATAATAACATCTGAGAATGGGATGCACTATTTTAGCCATCACTACTGTAAAACAGAGCTTCCAAATAGACTTATCCCTTCTGCCCTCCTACTCTATTAGAGAGGCAGTGGTTCCCTTCTTAGTTGAATGGTGGTATCCTTCTTAGTTGAATGGTAGATATTACACCCTTACGGGTTACAGACTTTAATTTACTATTAATGTTTATTTTCACTGGAGAATTCATGGAGTACATCCTGTCAATCTCCTTCAAGTTTCTAACATTAGTCTCTCTCCTATCCTTATCAACTCAGACTGTGATAATAGGAATAGTTTGTCAGGTTGCAGTAGAAGGTATTAGGTTGAGCACATTAATTTTAAAGTGCCCACAGGGTGCAGTGGAAGGTGGGTTTACTTACCCGAGGCTGTTCCACCATCCTCCTTCTGGAGATCTTCAGGTGAGGGCTGCGGGATTCAGGCAATGAGCTCGCTTATCACAAGATGTTATCTGTGGAGGTTCTCGCAGGATCCTCCATAGACCTCAGGCATGTACTCTTGCACAAGACTACAGCAATGACAACGCTCCGGTTAAATGAAGCACCAGGAGCCAAAGAAGAAATCCATGAAGAAGATGACGGTGGTTGCAAGGTAAACCTACCTTCCACTGCACACCGTGACCACCAGCTTGAGGAATGTGATGTTGACCTTTTGTCACGCCCCTATCCCCATCCTCTTCCTCCAGAGTTCAGACCTCCACACCCTTCTCTATGACAAATGATAGGTCGGATAGCCACTGGAAGCCTGGAGTGGACAGTCAAGCTTGGCAGCCTCAAATACCGGCTGTATTGATAAAATACTAGCGAAGTGTCAACCTATCTTAAATATGCAGCAACATTCATTTCTATCTGAGATATCAGTGATAAGTAGTACAGTTATTTACCTTTTTCACAACTGTTAACCCTTTAGTGAGAAGGGTTGACAATATACTTTTCACACTGCTAGAGAGCTAGTAGTGACTTTAGGGACACACTCACAGTATGCAAATTCTGCTATACACACACTTAATGTAATGTATACACACGATCACACACTGCTAGACACACACAATGAAAGTATAGAAACACTGCCATACACACACTCATTCAGATAGTATACACACAATGACACACATTGCTTATATACAGTATACACACACAAAACAATATTACAACACATACACATAATGACACACAGAGTGCACACACAATCAGACACAGTATACACATAATGACACACTGCCACAAACATACACAACATACACAATACTACACATACAATCAAACACAGTATGCATACAATTAAATAATACCACATCCACATTCTGACACAGTATGGACACTGACAAATACTGCTATCACACATGATTTACACACTGCTACACATACACAATGCTACACGCACAGTCAATAGTACACACATTCTACGTAGTATTTTAGTGATTTGCGGAACATTCATCTTATTATGTTATGTTATTATGTTATTATTTAAATAGCGCTAACATATTTTGCACACAAATATGCAAAGAACCCAGAAAGTGACAGGTACTCTTTAACCAAGGAGTGTGAGTTTTCAGAAATTTTTTCAAATAAACAATTGGAAGTACAAAATGAGTATAAAATACTCTTACCTCAGCTCTAGCTACAGGTGAACAACATTTTTGCTTGCATACCAGACAACATTTTGAGATGATTCCCGGCAGGTGTACACGGGCTGTGTGCCTGGAATTATGGAACATTTTGGAGTTTGAATCAGTTGCCAGACTCTGCCAGCACAGCCTTATATTCAACAGAAATGCAAATAAAAAATACAAATCATGAAGGATATTTAAAAAACAAACAAAAAAAACCCAGTCATAACTACTAGCTGGTGTTTACTTATAGCTACTAGAATAAGCCACAGCATCTGTACCCCAACTCCTTGTTAAATGTTTCTCACTGTAGCATGTGTACCCCAACTCCTTGTTAAATGTTTCTCACTGTAGCATGTGTACCCCAACTCCTCCTTAAATGATTCTCACTGTAGCCTGTGTACCCAAACTCCTCGTTAAATGATTGTCAATGTAGCATGTGTACCCCAACTCCTCATTAAATGTTTCTCACTGTAGCATGTGTACCCCAACTCCTCATTAAATGTTTCTCACTGTAGCATGTGTACCCCAACTCCTCATTAAATGTTTCTCACTGTAGCATCTGTACCCCAACTCCTTGTTAAATGTTTCTCACTGTAGCATGTGTACCCCAACTCCTCGTTAAATGATTCTCACTGTAGCATGTGTACCCCAAATCCTCGATAAATTGTTCTCACTGTAGCATGTGTACTCCAACTCCTCGTTAAATGTTTCTCACTGTAGCATGTGTACCCCAAATCCTCGATAAATTGTTCTCACTGTAGCATGTGTACCCCAACTCCTCGTTAAATGTTTCTCACTGTAGCATGTGTACCCCAACCCCTCGTTAAATGTTTCTCACTGTAGCATGTGTACCCCAACCCCTCGTTAAATGATTCTCACTGTAGCTAACCCCTCGTTAAATGATTCTCACTGTAGCATGTGTACCCCAACTCTTTATTAAATGTTTATCACTGTAGCATGTGTACCCCAACCCCTCGTTAAATTATTCTCTCTGTAGCATGTGTACCCCAACTCCTCGTTAAATGATTCTCACTGTAGCCTGTGTACCCCAACTCTTTATTAAATGTTTATCTCTGTAGCATGTGTACCCCAACCCCTTGTGAAATGATTCTCACTGTAGCCTGTGTACCCCAACTCCACGTTAAATTATTCTCACTGTGGCATCTGTACCCCAACTCCTCGTTAAATTATTCTCACTGGAGTACGTTGGTTAGTTTGCAATGAGAACATAAAATGCTAATTAAAGTACTTTTCATCTAATGCAAAATACATTGTTTTTTGATTATAGTATTTTATGGTACATGTTCACCTTTAACATTTCCTTATACTCTCTATATCCAGCACCTCCTGGTCCTTGCCTCTATTGTATGTACCAGCCACCATCTGCTTCTCCAGGCTCGACCGTTAGGCCCAGCAGATCAGAGTCGTCTCTTTGCCAGCAGCCTGTTTGCTTGTGGTTTTGCTACCGCTCTACAAAGCACCTTGGGAACCAGGTAGGTGCAGGGATTAAAAAAAGAAAATCTATTAAACATATTTAACATTTCGCTAACATTTTTTTAAACCTGTTATGGCCAAGGACAGTCTATGATGTCATAACGATCTTGTATTTAACCTTTTGCAACCCCTACATAATGCTGAAATGTGAAAAAAAAAGTTAAGCCAATAAAATAAAGCTTACCTTATCACTAGCGTTGGTTTTCACCAGAGAAAAATAAAGCAGCACTGTCATCCCCTGTTTCATACAGCCAGGTGACTAACTGAGTAGGACTGTAGGGGTATGTGAGTGATGTATGATGGTTAACACAGTAAATGAGTTTAAGTATGTGTGGGATAGGCATAAGGCTATCCTAACTATAAGATAAGGCCAGGGACTAATGAAAGTATTTAGAAAGCTGGGCAGACTAGATGGGCCGAATGGTTCTTATCTGCCGTCACATTCTATGTTAAGGTGGCATCAGTACCAACAGTCCTGAATTTGCCATGAAAGTCAAGCATTTTGTGGTAATGTCCCAGCAAAAATAGGTCTCCAGACCTGTGCTACATTTTGAAATGTGCAGTCTGCCTGTATGTGACTGTAATAAGTATGTAACAGGGTGTGTGGCTGTGTGAATGGAGGAGGACAGTATGTAACAGGGTGTGTGGCTGTGTGAATGGAGGAGGACAGTATGTAACAGGGTGTGTGGCTGTGTGAATGGAGGAGGACAGTATGTAACAGGGTGTGTGGCTGTGTGAATGGAGGAGGACAGTATGTAACAGGGTGTGTGGCTGTGTGAATGGAGGAGGACAGTATGTAACAGAGTATATCACAGGGTTCCACACATTCTAACAATCTAGTTGAGTTATAAAGAGAATCCACATTTATTGCAGACCTAATAAATGCACCTTCAAACAGGAGGTGCCTGGGTGCAGCCCTCTTAGCTCACCTCTGAAAATCAGTGAACCCTGAGTTTTAGAAGCTGATTGGCGGACTGCAGCTAACAGAGAACTTTGCAACATTAGCTCATATCAGAAAGAAAGGCTGGAGTGTTTTTTCAAAGTTGGAATCTAATGCTAAGTTCAGAGAATGGGAATAATTCACAGAAACTGATTATAATTTAACTTCAAGCCAGGAACTGCAATGTTTGGTCATTCCTCTTGGCTTGTGGCTACACTCCTTTGTTGGATCTCAAGGACTTGGCACACACAGAGGAAGAATCGTGTTGTAATTATTTGTAATAAGTTGCTGCAGTTAAGGATCATTATAAAACAATCGGCTCTGTCTGACAGAGCTCTAGTTTTTAATTAACAATTTATTTACAGTTTAGCATTTCTAAAATGACATATTGAAAACCGGAGAGTTATGATCCACTTTATAATATTGAAAAAAGCTTAGAAGGAAAGTCAGGGAATGAAAATAAAAAATGTTACGCATTGCATAGATAATACATTAAAAAAATCGCAGGCAAGATAAGATGAGATCACCTGAAAAAAATGACTTCCAATGATCCTAATCTACACATCTTAAAGAAACTGACTGCTGATTCAGGCAGACCGTCACCAGGAAGCGTCTCCACCAATCAGGAGCCTGTTCTTTTTGCTCATCATGGCATTGGGGATCTGATGTGCATGCGCGAAAATTTGCTACACGCACATACAGACTTCCCCATAAAAAAGTATTGAATTCACTGCTTTCCTGTGAGCTGCAATTGATGACGCTTGACATCAAATGTCACGACTGAGTTTTACCCGCTTGCTGCAGCGGGAGGCACCTCCAATGGCTGTCTGTATGACATCACTAGAGACATGATTAACCCTTCAAAAACCCTTCTAAATATTGCCGTTAATATTTGAAGGGTTGAAGCCCAGACCACTTCATAAAGTGGACTTGGGGTAATTTGAGTGTCCTTTAAGTATCTTTGCTTTTCTCTGGCTATGTGTTTTCTCACCCTGTAAGTTGAGATCGGGTTCTGTCACTGATACCTATCAAACCATTCTACAGTTGTTCTGACACTTCTATAGTTGTTCAATTTTTCTTTTATTATTTCTTCTGTATTGATATAAAACGTGTGTGTAATACAGAGGAGTAAACCATGCTGTAATGCTGTATCATTACAATAAACTGGGATACATAGATTCAGGGTTAAAGGAGTACTCTGCGCATCATAATCACTACAGCTCACAGAACTTTTGTGAAGTAAATGGTGTGAGCTGTAGTGGCTATGGTGTCTAGAGGGCTCCTTTAAGGAGGTTTAAAGTTTTCGGTTAGGAGGATTTGAGATTAAAAGATCTAACATTAGAATTGTATGCAGTTACATATTTATATTTGTTTTGTATCCCTGAACACTATTCTGTACAGGAAACAGAGAGTATTCTATTTTTTGTGTGTGAAAAGAGCTTGGTATTGAAATGGTTAAGAAGTGATATTACACTATGAGCCTGTGGGCTTTATTTTTAAATTTGGGTTTTTTGGTATTTTCCCATGCACCATGCAATTCCTCACTGTGTTTTGGAACACAAAACAGACAGAAAATATCAAAATTCCTGGGGTTTTGGTCTCTGGCCGTCCATGAAGCCTTTACCACTTGAAAAAGATCATTTTTTATTGTTTACAGTTAAATAAAACAAAAATGTAGACTATGCTAAACTTGGCAGGGACACAGGGAGTTAAAGCTATCTACAACTTTTCCATTAAGGAAAAAATAAAGGGAACCCCACATGCACACACACACTAAAATATAATCTAATTATAGTGTGATATGTTCGTTGTTTTATGTTACAGTTCTGTTTCTGATAGCCCTATCTACATTACAAGTGAGAGTAGCCCACAGATGGCTAACAAGGGCCAGATGTCTGTGTGCCAGCCCTTATGACATAGTGCCAATCTTCAACAAAGAATTGTGCTCTGAACTGTTTGCTCCCATCAGTTGACGTACAGTATGTCGATTGAGATGATACCTTTTCAATCAACATAGTGTATTCTTTTGTAATTTTACTTCTATCCTCCCCACTATTCAGGCTGCCTCTGGTACAGGCTCCAACTTTTGAACTACTAATTCCGGCCCTGACTCTTCATCAACATTCAGCCGGCAACAGAACATCGAAAAATGGTGAGTTTCATCCCGAGCTGTAAAATCGGATTGGTCAGTGCTGGAATGTGCAAATCAAAATTCTCTAAACTGGCACCAGAGGCGTATAAGGTAAAATGCCCGTGGGAAGGGTGGCTGGCATGGTGTTAATAATTTGTACTATTTAGGATTGTCAAGTATGGATCACAAAACGATGCTTTATTAAGGTGGGTGTTTGCTGTACCTGTTCATTGACGTGTATAAACAGGCCATCCACATTTTATCACTAATTAAAGGAACACTATAGGGTCAGGAACACAAACATTTATTTCTGATCCTACGGCGTTAAAAGCACCATCTAGTTCCCCTGAACCCCCATAAATATAGTAAAATCTTACCTTCATTCTACTGGCTCTGCCCCTGACCTGCCTGCTTGGCTGACATCATCAGAAGTGATTCTCTGGGCCAGTGCTTTCCCATAGGATTGGCTGAGACTGACAAGGAGGCAGATCAGGGGCAGAGCCAGCAGAAGTCAAACACAGCCCTGGCCAATCAGCATCTCCTCATCATGGAGATACACGGAAGGTAATGATTCTACTCACCAGAACATATACAATAAGCTGCAGTTGTTCTGGTGACTAAAGTGTCCATTTAAATAAAACATAATTCTTTTCTTCTCATCCATGCGCTGTTATTCAAGGTGATTGTGACTTTATTAGTGTTATACGCACATTGTAAACACCATGAACGCAATCCCAATTAAACCCTGTCATTTAATGTGTTCTTTTCGATTTCAAACCATCTTCTTCTGTCCAGACACGCAAGGATCAATACACTGCGCTGAAGGAGACTGTGACAGGCTGAAAAATAATGTCCATTTCATTGCAGAGGTTAGTAATGCAAGAAAAACATTAAAAATGCATTTATCCATGTGGTGCTTTAAAGTGTCTCGATCAGTTTTAAATACGTTCAGCAGTTTTTAGAATAAAATAAAAAAAAAATTATTTTCCGGTTAAATTTGGGCATGTTGGGTATCAAATATCATCGTAGAGTTCAAAGGATCACTTTCTGCTTCCTGGCTATTGGAAAGCTGAGAACTACTCTGCTCATTGATTAAAGGGATCAATCAAACAGCAATGTCCTGTCCTATTTTAGATTGAAAGGAAGTCTTTGTAATTTTTGATCACCCTGAATGAGACCAGTAAGCCTGTTTATTATATGGCAGGTTATCATATCACATAGTACGTGACTTCCTGAGAAAGCACGTTCCTTTTGTTTTCTATCAACAAAATGGTGGTTTGTTTCATTGGTGCAGCAATAACCTATAAGAGAGAAGGGAGATACTAATTTTAGACCAACAAGGAAAAATTTGCAGACTTTTTTTTCTGAGTATTTTTTCCCAAAAAAAGTTTTAGTTCCCTTTTCCATTTTTCACAAATATTGTATCACTGTATAAAAGCCAGTCTTTTTCTCTACCCATCTACATAGCTAGGAATACATACAGATTGACTACACTGTAAAGGCAATAAGTGAAGATGCTCCAGGTTTCTATTCAAATACTCTCTCTGTGCAGGTGTCAGGAGCCGTGCTGGTTGCAGGGGCTCTCCAGGTGGCATTTGGTGCCAGTGGTCTCCTGGGTCGGATCCTGCAGAATTGTGGCCCCATGGTTAAAGCTCCAGCCCTATCCATCATTGGATTGTCATGCTACAAACAGGCCGCCCTGTTCTGTTCTTTCAATTGGATCATCTCCTTACTGTAGGTGTCCCACCCTGTGGCACTTATTCCTGAGTGGTGGACTGGAGATCACAGTCAGGTCTGGATCCTTGGTGTAAGCCCAGACCACCACTTTCATATCAGGACTGTCCTCATGATTTAGAAGTGAGAGGATAATCAGTGAACATATAATGGAAATAAATAAATAAAAATTACCATTTAGTATATATATATATCCCCAATGAAAACATGCATGCATTTGAATATAATTTTTTTAGTTGAGGGTACATCTAAAAACAGCTTGCAAAACCTACAGTTCTATTGTCTTCAGCCTTTGCAAGCCCTCCCTTTCTAGCCTCGCCCAGAAATTCTGTGGCTGTCCAATCACAGACGTTCCAATGCAGCTCAATGAGAATTCTTTGCAAGGCAGGTGCTTTGGGCAATTGCTGCCTCTTGAGTTTAGTTTCACCAAGTTAAACGAACAAGGAAGTAACACGACCAGTTGTCTTATTCACAGGTTGGGAGATGTAACAAGGTTAATTTATAAAAGTGCCAATTTCTACAGAAATGTGCACTTTTGGTAAAATAAAAAAGAGCACTTAAGTAAGCTAGGGGTCTAGAGTGCTCCTTTGCCTCTTGGAAATCGTTCTATATATAATTACAAATATTGGCAATTATTCTTTTAAATATCTTCTGATACAAAGTTAGAAAACACTTCCATGAATAAGCTCAGCCCCAGTGAGTTTCACCTACGCAATAACTAATCAGACAGCTTAGTTTTTAGTGATTTGACGTTGTTCAGGATATAAAACCGTTTTGAAAAATTACTCTGTATTTCACAGACTCATACTCATAACTGGGGTGTTATCCCAAATATGCCGCTCTTGTTACCTGCCGATATGTACGTGGAGATCGAAGAAAGACACGGATAAGCAGTATTTCCCAGCTCTGCGCATGTTCTCAGTATGTTCATACGGTATACATGATTATAAATATAATAAAGAAAGGTGCATGCTGTATATAGCTATCTATTTAATAAGCAGATATAATGATATCACGGACAGCTAGTGTGTATATTCATATATTTATTGTTACTGACGCCCATATACACATGCAAATACATCTAAATGAATTTTAATTATGCTGTATTCCATCCTTGTTGGATCTGACAGCTGGTTCTGACAATTTCCTGCACCTGGATTATCTGCAGCTCTTTAAGAATGGTGAATGAGCGTGCAGCGCTTGACAGCGCAGTCAGGTCTTCCGTCAATGATTCAACCTTCCTCACCACCGCATCTCTCATGGGCATCGCTGGCACTGAACAAAACGCCATCGAACCAGCTGCCTGGTTTAAAATCCCATCTCTGGGTACGAACAACCACATTTTATCCAGCATAGAAGGAAAGACTTTGTAGAAGAAAAAAATATATGGTGAAAATAGTGCTTTCTGGAATAATCAGGAAACTGGAGATTTTATGCTAAGATATATTTAATTAAGTGCAAATTTTCTGAAATTCAAAGTGAATTTCAAATTGTAAGTTAAAATTGTTAAATTGTACAAAAATGATAGATTTTCAAAAAGATTCTCCAAGATATGTTTGGCTTAAAATGTGAAATTCTCAACAATTTTAACTTTAGCGATTAACCTTGATGCGAGGAATCTGTCACATATTGCAGGAGAACTGGTATCAAATGTTTACTTTTAACTTTAAGACTATTTCATGTAACGATATATATATTTTTTTAAATGATGTATACTGATTTATTTATTTATAATTTACTTGTTTGTCTGCTGCTATCACAGCAGCAGACAAACAAGTAAATTATAAATAATAACAGCAGAAGCAAGTTCGGTTAAGCAGCAGTTGGTCAGATAACAGCAGAGTCTGACTCAATATGGCCACTCTGCCAGATAAAACCAAATGAAATTTCGTCATTAAAATCAATATACACCATTTAAAAATATATCATTAAGTTTCGTTAAATGTAATAAACTTTTTTAAAAAATGACAAGTGAAAATTTGATAATGAAAAAAATCTCAGGCACTCACTGTACTTGGTTCCAGGCAGATTTATTACAACGTTTTGACCTGTACAGGTTTTTATCAAGCTTGATAAAGACCTGTACAGGTCGAAACGTTGTAATAAATCTGCCTGGAACCAAGTACAGTGAGTGCCTCAGATTTTTTTCATTACTACGTATCTCTTGGAGGTTGCTGACCCGTGCTCAGTAGCACCCTGCGTTGGTATATTGTGACTGACTGCGACCCTACTTTTTGTTTACCAAGTGAAAATTTGATGACAGTTGTCCTTTAAGGAGAACATTGTGGGGACACAATATCAGAGGAACACTTGCCAGCAGTGAAAGATTAGATGAACAGATCCACCAAACTCTGTGTGTCCTACAACATCACCACCACAAGTCCACCCAGCCCAATGTGTAAAGTCGTAGCTTATCCTGTCCTAGTCATGTCTGGCTTTCTATAAAATACTAAAGGGTAGTTGCTAGGCACGTGGCACATTAGCAGTCAACTTGTGTGACACTGTTGCAAGGACTGTCTAGATGAAATTGGGATTTCTGGCAGCTATGAAATGTAGCACATGAAATTTATGTAAAGATCTGGACATTTGTACCCTGTGTAAGGTTTCCCACCGTAAGCTTCCTTGATTGATAAAAGTTGGATGATGATGATGTGAGTTACAGTGTATCATATTGTGTATTTGCTTGTAGGTGCCTGGGGTTGGCCGCAGTTCACTCTCCATTCATTGAGCGTGGGGATTGCCATGGCTCTGACCTCCAGCCTGTCTTCTCTCTGTTGTTACATTCTGTGTGATCGGATGATAGACTGCCCTCCAATCCCATCTCAGGCCTGCAACAGGGGGATCTGCATGGAAGGGGCTGGGAATATCCTATCAGGTATACTAGGAAGTATCTGTGGAGCTGGCTCCAGTATCCCTAATGCTGGTATGGCAGGAATCACCAAGGTAACTTTTTAAAACTGCCCACTAACATGTGTTGCCCATGTTCTTCTCAATATAATATATTTTAGGAGAGTCAGCTTGGTTCTATAAGGCATCATGCTCTTCCTCTTTCTCAATTTTAAAACTGCCCACTAAAATGTGTCGCCCATGTTCTTCTGAATATAATATATTTTAGGAGAGTCAGCTTGGTTCTATAAGGCATCATGCTCTTCCTTTTTCTCAATTTTTAACACTGTGTTCTCCTAAACAATCTGTGAACCCTCCAGCAGGTCAGAATGTTATGATGTACACTGATTAGCCACAACATTAAAACCACCTGCCTAATATTGTGTAGGTCCCCCTCGTGCTGCCAAAACAGTTCTGATGTGTCGAGGTATGGACTCAACAAGACCTCTGAAGTTGTCCTGTGGTATCTGGCACCAAGACATTAGCAGCAGATCCTTTAAGTCCCGCAAGTTGCGAGGCGGGGCCTTCATGGCTTGGATTGAGATCTGGGGAATTAGGTGCCAAGGAAACACCTTGAACTCTTTGCCATGTTCCTCAAACCATTCCTAACACATTTTGCAGTGTGGCAGGGTGCATTATCCTGCTGAAAGAGGCCACTGTCATCAGGAATCACCATTACCATGAAGGGATATAAGTGGTCTGCAAAAATATCGAAATAGGTGGTACGCATCAAAGTAACAACCACATGAATGCCAAGCAGAACACAAGTAACAATAAGTAATTAAGGATTACTTAATTACTTATTGTTACTTGTGTTTTTATACTTGGAATATTATTGTCATTGGTCCCTGAGGAAGTTCCCTTGGTGAAACGAAACGCGTAGGACCTGTATTCCCTTTATATATTATATGCTGGTGGTTGTTATCCACTTTTTTATAATAAAATCTTTTTGATATATTATACCTCAATTCCATCATTTGGAATCCTGAATTTCCATCTTTTCATTGGAGTGGACGTGGGAATATTTAGCCACCCATCTACACCGGGGAGGCACCTCTGAGCGCTTTTTACATCTCTATCTCATTGAGTTCAGCCGTATCCCATATTTTCCTCTGTTTTCCATATATTGTATAAGGTCATCTGTGGGTTAACGATCTTGGGAGGCTGTTTTTTCCTAAATCAGAGATAAGTATATTTTTTATACTTATATTACCACACTGGTTACACTTTGGTGTTGTATTTTGTTGTTTGATGTTGATGAAGTCTGGTAGAACCATTAAAATGACCACCAGAGAAAATGGTTCAAATCTACAGTAATGTGGTTGTTCAATAAAGGTGGAGTTTTGGGAATTCAAAGTAAATTTTATAAACTATGTCAAAATACCCATACTGGAAATCTTCTCAATTTAGTTATGTTTTCATGTTTATATGTGAATAAATTGCCATTATATTTATACATCTTGGTTTCTACATACCGGTATGTTATCCTAGTGGGCTGTTCACACACATCTATAGAATGATAAATGATCACAGTGTCTTTTTCATTTACCACTTCGCTGTTTCCAGCTATTTACATTTTTATAGATTACTTTTTTGAACCTATAGTCATGTGCTCTCTTGTGTGCGTTTTTACAGTTATGTTTTAGTTTGGCAATTTTAACCTAAAATTATTGGAAATTATATATATTAGATCTATTATAAAAATATTGCCTAAAGATCTAGACAGAGTAAATTTTGGTTGTTTCTATAAATCAAGTATAATTTAGCATTTATTCCCTAAGTATTGGATTGTGGTGGATTTAAAACAAAATTGCTACCTTTAAGCAAAAAGTGCTGATTTGGAAAAATTCTCTACCCAGTTACAATGACAGTTTTTTTGCCTACATTTTACTACAGGTAGTCCTCACTTTGTGACTTACCTGTCTAACGACTGCTTGGACATACGAACAGCCCTCTAGCGTAGGGATTCGAGGGATTCCCCACATTAGTAAGCTAGTCTATGTTCTGGAATTTTCCCCGTAGATTCGAGGGATTCCCTGCGCTATTGAGATGGTCTATGAGCTAGTGAGCTGGTCTATGTTCCCCCAAACATAGACCTGCTCTCTAGCGCATGCAAGACTTGGTTGTCTCGGCATCCTCGCTTACCGACCAATTCCTTTTATGACTGAGTTTTAGGAACAGAACTCGATTGGTAAGTAAGGATCATCTGTATTCCATTTTCAATTGACTACAATTTGATGTTAAGTAAATAAGATATCTCAGTATGCTTAGTGTAATCTGAAAATGATCTATCTGAATGTGTAATAATTGTCCTTTTTAGGTGGGATGTCGCCATTCTGTTCATATTACTGCATTTCTGCTTATTGCATTGGGTTGCTCCCCAAGGATCTCTGAATTCCTGATGGATATTCCCTTTGCAGTCCATGGTAAGTGATAATTTTTAGACTGAGCAAGACTGACCTTGAGGCGACTCTAGAGAGATGCCTAGGGCCCACATTTTAGACATGGTATCCGGAACCATGAATTTGCCATTAACCATCCCTACGTGAAGAATAAAGAGGGGGGAGGGGACCCCGTACCTGTAACTTGCTGAGGGCCCAGTGGGATCTTAAGCTTTCTCTGTGTATATATTATTGTCATTATTGCACACGTCCTGTACTGTTTTATCTCTAAAGATATGATATTATTGTTCTTCCATTACCTTGCAGGAGCAGTCCTGAGCTTGACGTACTCCATGGCCTTGGGAGGCGGAATCTCCTATTTCCAGTATGCAGATATTGACTCTGGTCGGAACATCTTCATTGTAGGCTTCACTATGTTTATTGCACTGCTCATCCCACGATGGCTGGAAGCAACACCAGGAATATTATTCACTGGTGAGGACCAGCTAATAATCCCATCTAATCCCTTCTTCCTTTCCGCAAAAACTGACCTGTCTCTTGTTCCTCATCAGGCTGGAGACCGCTAGACCTCCTCCTGCTTGGACTTTTAACGGTGCCAATTTTTTTGGGCGCATTATTTTCGTTCATTTTGGATAACACTGTATCAGGTGAGAGAAAGATCTACACACCATTAATACATTTATTTCATCTGTCGGTCTTTTAATATAATATTGCACATTGTGTTTTGATTTACCAAACGTGCAATACATTAAAGAGACACTATAGACACCAAAACAACTTTAGCTTAATGAAGCCGTTTTGGTGTATAGATCATTCCCCTGCAGTCCCACTGGTCAATTCTCTATTATTTAGGAGTTAAAGCACTTTGTTTATAGAGACCTAGTCACAACTCTCTGCATGTGACTTACACAGCCTGCCTAAACACTTCCTATAAAGTAATGTTGTATTTACACTTCCTTTAATTCATATTCTATTTAATTTGAATGTCTTATCTCCTGCTCTGTTAATAGCTTGCTAGACCCTGCATAAAAAACGTTTAAAGTAAGTTACAACTGATTAAAAAATGAAACCATTTTGTTTTCATGCAGGCTGTGTGAGTCACAGTCAGGGGAGATGTGGCTAGAACTCAAGGGCTGCATAAACAGAAACAAAAGTGAGATAACTCCTAAATGGTAGGGAATTGAGGTATGATATATACACCAAAAGCTCCATTAAGCTAAAGTTGTTTTGGTGACTATAGTGTTCCTTTAATTAGAGCTCAAGAAAACACTGACCTGAAATACCAATGGCAACAATCGTTCAGCAGCATTTAAAAAAAATAATAATATCTGCACAACGGGAGTCAGACTTGCCGGTCTATGATACCAAGTCTTTTTTTTGTGCCACATTGCTCTTTTCCTCACTAAGCAACTCAATCATCTTAATTTTATTTTTTAAAGGTTGAAACATCTACCTTTCTGTTTATATACAGACCTGAAGAGACTTTCTGTTTTGTTCTTTACGGTGTTGTTAAAATGAGCTTTTGATGTGCTGATCCTTAGCTCTCTGTATATAGGAACTTTGCAGGAACGAGGCCTACACTCGGACCAAACGCTTGGATGCCCTGTATCTGCAGTGAACACCCCGATGGGAAAGGAAGAGGAGCTGACAAAATCCTATGGACTTCCTCTCATGCAGAACTGCCTCTTCCCTGCTGTGTACCCATGCAATCAGCTCTGTCCTCTGCACTACGAGAGAGTGGACATTGTGGAGAGAGTGTGAAGACGACCAATCACTGGCAGCAAGATCTCCTGTATTAAACCTAGTGCACTGATAAAGGCTACAAACCCCTCCGTCAGGTTCTGTATGGACATATGGAGCTTATAGCAGATCTGAATATGTTATGAAGTCCCATCCTTTAACCCCTTAAGGACACATGACATGTCTGACATGTCCTGATTCCCTTTTATTCCAGATGTTTGGTCATTAAGGGGTTAAAGCAAACCTGACACACGGAAGTTCTTCACAAAGATAAATTCTATAGTTAAATCTGCCTTGTGTTAAAATGAAATAAACGTTTATTTTTGTTTTGTATATATTATTAATATAAAGTATTATAGGCCTATTATTTGCCTTAGTATCTCTAGGAAAAATTTAGAAAATGCACTGTAACTATGTCCTCTGTTCTCCATCAGCTATGATGACATCATGGAATTAACATTATATGCACACAAAGCATGTGGGAAATGTACGGAAGGCATCAGATATCTCTCTGGTTCCAGCATTCAGGCCCCTTTAATAGTGACACGGCAGTAATACAACTCCGGGCAAAACAGGCTGTCAGTAACTGCAAGAACAAAATGTGTTGCAGTGATGACAACGCTTTCATCACAGATATTAGCACACTCAGTCCTTTCACACGCTTGCATTCAGATCGCAGTTGTTGTGTGTATTTTTTCTAAAAATGGACAGATCTGTTAAAGCGGCTCTGACACCACAAATAAACTTTATCTAATTTGCTTCTATATAGCTCGCTGTGTCCGAATCTAATTTTATTTTTTCCTGAACGCTCTAGTTTTCGTAAAATACATAAAATATATAAAGATATTCTGGCTGGTTGGTCCAAGTAAAATTCCTTTTAACCACAAACGAATTAGTATGTCCAGGATTTACTTATGAGTCTTGTTCAATGGTAATGGTAATAAGGTAAATCCTGGGTGTATTTTATTGCTAGTGAGTATGGAAAAGTACAAGAGAGTATGGAAGAGTCCCACAGCATATGGGAGAGTACCTGTGAGAGTACCAGTGAGTATGGGAGAGTACCAAAGAGTATTGGAGAGTACCTCATAATCCAAGAAAAAAGAGTCCCTGTGAGAGAGTATGGGAAAGTACCAGAGTGTATGGCAGAGTACCAGAGTGTATTCTGGCTCGTATTAGCCATAAGGCAACCGAGACCATGACTTTGGGGAGACAGCCTGGACAAGGGCGGCACTGACTGATGCACTAACAGTCTTACAGATTCTACATATAAGGTGGCATTGGGCTCTTGTGATTTCCTCATTTTTTATTTACGTGTATGCAGCTGTATATGGCTGTGTGTTTGTATGACTGTGTGTATGTGTGTCTGTATGACTGTGTATATGGCTGTGTGTATGACTATGTATGGATTTGTGTCTGTGACTGTGTGTATGTGTGTTTGTATGAGTAAATATATGGCTGTGTGTCTGTGTGACTGTATCTGGTTGTGTTTCTGTATGACTGTGTGTATGTGTGTTTGTATGACTGTATATATGACTGTGTATCTGGCTATGTTTCTGAATGACTGTGTGTATGTGTGTTTGTATGACTGTATATATGGCTGTGTGTCTGTATGACTGTATTTGGCTGTGTGTCTGTGTGACTGTATCTGGTTGTGTTTCTGTATGACTGTGTATCTGGCTGTATGTATCACTGTATATATGACTGTGTGTGTGCCTATATGCTGTGTGACTATATATGGATGTGTGTCTGTGACTGTTTATCTGGCTGTGTTTCTGCATGACTGTGTATCTGGTTGTGTTTCTGTATTACTGTGTGTATGTGTGTTTGTATGTCTGTATATATGACTGTGTATCTGGCTGTGTTTCTGTATGACTGTGTGTATATGTGTTTGTATGACTGTATTTATGGCTGAGTGTGTGCCTATATGACTCTGCGTGGGGATATTTAAATATTCTGAAAAGTAATGGATTGGTAAATCTATTGCCTCTCTGAAAAAGTGGCATATATACATAAATTATAGCCAAGGTGTAAAAGAAGCAACAGATTTGATAATTGAGATACACAACAGAACCTGATAACTACTGTATTAACATTTTTGTAATGTTTTAAAATGACATTACAATTAACACACAACAACGTACACAATAACATTCAACCAAACACAGTAATACTCAGCCAACCCTCACTCATCACAGTTAGCAATAAAAATAAAATAAAAAATCACACATATATATGTATGAAAGAGGGTAGAGGTAGCCCGCAGATACACCCGCACACACACATTGCAAACTGCCAGACATACATACACTCATACAGTTATTCTCAATGCCAGACAAACTGAAAAACATACACACACAGGTCTCACAGCAATGCACATGCAAATATACGCACACCCACTTCCAGGCACAACAGACTCACACATACAAACACACTAACAGACACACAGACTGAAATGCACACATATACAAGCACTGACAGAGACACACACAAATGCAAATATTGAAATTTAAGATGTTTAGTAAGGGTGACTTCCCTGTGGTCCTGAAGGGATCCTGCACCGACTGCGAGCTGTACTCAGGGGGCTATAATGGGCAGTTTCTGTCTTCCCATGTGACATCCTCTAAGCACTGGAAGGAAAAGATCCAACATCACTACCTCCAGGTATGGCCATCACTGGATCCATGCCATCACTGGATTCCCCATTGTGGTCCAAGTAATATTACAGGGCTCTTAAAGGGCCCATTTTGACCCCAACGCATGGCAGATCCCCATAACAGATATACCTATAAAACTATAAACAACTTAAGCCCCTGTTAGATTATGTATATATATTCATAGGTATGCCCCTTCTCAATCTCTCCGCTCTGCTGGTGACCTTCTCCAATCCATTGCTTGTAGGCTTACTTCTAACTCCCGCTTGCAGGACTTCTCATGAGCAGCTCCGTTCCTTTAGCGCATGGGTCGTCAACCTGGTCCCTACCACCCACTAGTGGGCGTTTCAGGATTCCAGGTGGGCGGTAGGGATTTCCTCGTTTTGGGCGACCGGGTACCGCCATCACCATTTGCGGCCCCCTGGCCCACACAGCAAACCGCCGGGGCCACCGTCCAAGGGGTACATCGGGTGGCCCATGCTGTCAGGGCCACCAGATGGATGTGGATTGTAAGGGGGCCTGGTCAGTGCTGGGCGCTTTAACGGCGCGACCAGGTCCCCTGTGATTACATCACAGAGCTGGGAGGAAGTGACTGCACGTCACTCCTCCCAGCTAACACACAGACCGCGCGGGAGGAAGCAGGAGGGAGTCAGAGTGGGAACTCTGACTCCCATCCACCTGAGCCACCACTGGACCCCAGGGAATATCACCTGCACCTAAAAGGTAGGAAACAGGAGGGTGACTAAAATATTTTGTGTGTGTTTGTTTGTGTGTATGTGTCTTTGTATGTATGTCTTGTGTGTGTCTTTGTATGTCTTGTGTATGTCTGTCTGTATGTGTCTGTATGTGTCTTTGCATGTATGTATGTATGTATGTCTTGTGTGTGTCTGTCTTTATATATATGTGTGTATGTGTGTGTGTCTTGTCTTTGTATGTATGTGTTGCGTGTGTATGTATCTTTGTATGTATGTGTGTCTTATGTATGTGTCTTTGTATGTGTGTCTTGTGTCTGTATGTGTGTCTGTTTCTGTGTGCATGTCTGTATGCATGTGTTCCTGTCTGTTTGTATGTATGTGTCTTGTGTGTGTGTCTGTATGTGTGTGTGTCTGTATGTATGTATGTGTTTTGTGTGTGTGTGTCTGTATTTGTGCCTGTCTGTGTGTCTATATGTATGTATGTATGTATGTATGTGTGCCTGTCTATTTATATGTATGTGTCTTTGTATGTGTGTCTTGTGTGTGTGTATGTGTGTCTTGTGTGTGTGTCTGTATGTATGCATGTATGTGTGCCTGTCTGTTATAGTGGGCTATAGTAAGTGGGCTACCTAGCTCGGCGTTCCTACTGGGCATTGCTATAAGGAAGGTTAAAAAATAGAAAAAAGGAAAAAAAAAAGGTGGGGAGGGGAATTGAGGAGGGAGAGGAGATGAGCTGACGCACAGATGAGAAATCATATTATGCGAAAACAGAGAAGTCGTCCGAAAGAGGAGACCTTCGTTTGTTCCTTACGAAAATCGAACCAGATATCAAATATTTAGTCTTGCAGCATGAACCTCAAGGATCTCATTAATCACTAGTAAAGGTAATTTCAATTTACTTTATTGTTTTCTCATTAAACTTTATAAAGTTAAAAACATTATAAACATGCATAAAGTAGAAATAAAAAGATAAATGTACATACATTTATTTTTTTTAAAACACCCTCCTTTCTAAAAAATATTCTGCACTTGCGCGAAAACTGGTGGGCGGTAAGGAAATTTTTCCATCAAGAAAGATGCATTAGTGGGCGGTAGGTAGAAAAAGGTTGACTACCACTGCTTTAGCGGCTCCGTTCCTGCCTACCCCCACCAGACTATCCCCTAGTCGTCAGTCATTTAAGAAGTCCCTCAAAACACATCTTTTCAGGAAATCGTATGGCCTCGCAGAGTAACTTCTATTTCACAAACATGTCTCTTGCCATCTCTTAAAGGGCCACACTCCACTCTAACTTCCAGTTCTGCTACTTTCCCACCTTGTGGTTTGTTTGCTGCCCCCACTTTCTGCCCTTTCTGTTGTGTTCTTACCCTTTTCTAGGTTGTGAGAAAATAAAATATTGCATAGAACAATAATTTGCAGGGAATTCAAATTTCCACAGAGACACTGGAAAAGGGAGGCAGGAAATAAGAGAAAGGGCCACATTGGACTCATTTAGCATGTAAGCTTATTGAGCAGGGCCCTCAACCCCTCTGTTCCTGTGTGTCCAACTTGTCTGGTTACAACTACATGTCTGTTCGTCCACCCATTGTAAAGCGCTGCGGAATTTGACGGCGCTCTATAAATATCATCATAATAATAATAATGACTTGAATGAATGAGGAGAGATAAGAGGAACATACAGCTTTCTAAATCTACCACTAGATGGTGCTATTAACCTCTCCGGAACTAATGTTTCCACGTGTTTCCAAGGGGAAGATTTTAGTAGACGGACTGGTTGGCAGCAGGTAGGGGAAGTGTTGTGTGAGCAGAGGACAGATGGTTGTCAGTGCTGGGGGTCTGATAGCTAATAGGACTAGTTGAGGACCCAGTCAGTGCTGTAGATATAATACTCTGCATGTGGTATAATGAGTGAGTAATAATTAATTATACTGATTACTGCAGACTGGGGTTGGAAAGGCCAGCAAACTTCCTGGAAATCTACAATTTCAACATATTGATTATGGGCAGCATGGGAAGAGTTATTTAATCAATTAACCTTGCAGCACATGAATGCCACATACCGCAGGGAGCACTAACCATCAACATTAAGGACATTCTCAGCTAATATATGGATTAGAATAATTCTTCCAGCTGTTTAAATAAAAATTAGATTAGATTTTCTTTAGGAAATACGTTGTAGAGTATGTACTTTGTACTTTTTACAGATTTTATATTAAAGTAAAGAAATATTTTGATGATTTTTTTTTTTAAATATCTTCTGAACACATTTACAAATTACAGATGAGACAGGCAGCATTTAAAGGAACACAATAGCGTTAGAAATACAAATATGTATTCCTTACTCAATAGTGTCTCTGTCCCGAGCGGTATTCAGCCTCCTCCCTCCAGTTTGCAGTAAAAATTAGAAAATAAATAAAATAAAGATTTAGCTCTTTCCAGTGCTAAAACACCACTCCGTGTCCTGTGACATCATGGCAGAGGCATGGCCT